CCATGCCCCATTCTGCTCATGTCTCTTCATCGTCCACCTGCTTTCTTCCTTTGTATGAAATGGAATATGCTGCACATACTTTTGTACCAGCGGTATGTCAACTCAGTGAATTTTCCATTTTGTAGTCTCCTACCGGGCAACCATGCCCCATTATTCTCATGTCTCTTCATCGTCCACCTGCTTTCTCCCTTTGTATGAAATGGAATATGCTGTGCATACTTTTGTGCCAGCGGTATGTCAACTCAGCGGTTTTTCCATTTTGTAGTCTCCTACCAGGATGCCATGCCCCATTCTGCTCATGTCTCTTCATCGTCCACCTGCTTTCTCCCTTTGTATGACATGGACTTTGCTGTGCATACTTGCACCCCAGTGGTATGGCAACCCAGCGGAGTTTCCATTTTGTATAGTGTAGCTCATGCCCAAACGAGGTTTGAATCATTTCATTCCTCTATGGCACAGATTTGAGCTTGACCGCGAGACCATTGACAAGCTTTTGCAAGCGCCTGATGATGAATTGGCTACTCTGGAAGCCATGCTCCAAACACCTATGCCAAAAGGGTCTTCTGGAATGATGTGGCTTTCTTTTCTTGAAGATACCAAGGAGCGCATAGCCAGGATTGACCGTTTCAAACGGCTTCAGGAATGGCTGGCGAAACGAGATTTGATAGCTGCGGAAGTGCTACCTGATGGAAATTGCGCCGTATGGTCGCTCTTGTCGTTGGAGGCCAAGAATCCGTTCCTGCCAGCTTGGGACCACAAGAAAGCTGCAGAGGAGAAACGTGAAGAGATTGCAAAGAAACTGGAGGAAGCTTCAGCTTCGAAGGGATGGCGGGCTCTTTACTCAGTCATGTATGATGTGATGCAGCCAACTCAGGAGGAAGATGTCCAGAAAACTGCAGTGAAAAAAGATCCCGGCACTCCATCAAAGCGGCCGAAGCCAAATCCGCCGATCTTTATGGATTTGACCACGCCGCCCAGGAAAGCGAAGGAGGTAATGGTCGATGGTGCACAGCGTGGGGCTTATCCAGAAAAGCGGCAGATAGAAAATCCTGTTTTCGGTGCAGAACCTGCCGCAGATCCTTTCCCGGCAGCAAAGGACAAAGCCCAGAAAGCAGACTTCAAAGCCAATGTGGAGAAGGCGTTAGGCCAATCTGCACAACGGCCTGCAGCCCCGAAAAGGAAACTGAATCCTGCCACAGAGGAGGAAGAGGAGGAAGAGGATGCGGAGGAGGAAGACGCTCCGAAGAAGAAGAAGAAGAAAAAGAACAGAACCTGCAAAGTGAGGGTGAAGCAAGACAGCGACAAGAGAGTGGCAGCTGCGAAGGCCTACTTAGGCTCCATCGGCATATCATGGCTATCCTCGCAGGCTTACCATGGGGAGTACAAGTGGAAAAACCTACCCCAGCGCACTGCCTTCAGCAATCTCTATGCCAAGCTCTTGGAGGGGGAGTTGCCAGAGTGTTTAGTTTGTGTGGAGATGCTGAAAGCAAAGGAATTCAACAAAGATGGTTTCGAAGCCGTCGTAGAGAGTGCCACAGATCCTTCAAAGCAATCTCCAGTTTCCCAACGACTCCAGGCTTTGTGTGAACAGTTGAAGGCCGTCGAGATCCAACGTCAAGCAGATGCCTCAGATATGGCAGAGGGGGAGAAGGAGGAGGCAGCTATGGCAGCTATGGCAGAGGGGGAGAAGGAGGAGGCAACTGACGAGGAGCAGGATGAGGTGACAGAAGGCCAAGAGGAGCCGAATGATAATGAGGTCAAGAACAGGAAAGATGTCTGCAGAATCATTCAGGAGATGGGCCATGGGAGGTTCCTCCAAGCATTGCCGCTGATGTCCCATGATCGCAGGGTTCCCATCAGATGTTTGGCTTGTCGCAGTCGTCGCCAGCCGGAGGGCAAAGTGTTTGAATGTAGCAGATTGAAAAAGGACTGTGTCCGGCACTACATCAAGCAGCACTGTGGACCAGAACATCTGAATGCAGTGGCAGAGATGATTTCTCGAATAGCTTGTGAACAGAAGTCACTTGGTGAGGATGAGTCGTGTGGTGGCTCGAAGGAGCAAGTGCCATGTCGTGGCCTTTCCCTCACTCATGGCAGCATGAGCCAGCTTTCGAAATACAAAGATGACTTTGTGCTGTGGGTGAGGTACACCAAGCTGAACCAGGAGGGTGGCAAGCACGAGTACACCTTCGTTGCAGCTCGTGAGGAACTTCTCGTTCAGCATCAACATTGTGAGAAGATCGTGTGGATCAAACCAGGTGAAGAGGCAACCTGCCCAAAGTGCAACAACACGGAGATGGCAAAACTAGCTGTCAAGTGTGCAACGAAGTTCTCGACTAGGTATTGGGCCGCAATCCTCCTCTCTTCAAAGCTGTTCAAAGGGGAAGAGCACACAGAAAGCTTGATTTCCAGCCTGAAGGCAACACACCTCTACAATATGAGGAAGGACAGCTTAGAAGCTGTCATCCCACCTGCTGAGGCAGACACAGCATCTTTGCAGAAGCTGCAAAAATTTGTGAGGATGTCTTGGACCAGAACTCCAAAAGAGAACCACACTGAACTCAGCATGGCTTTCATGGTGGAGGTGGTGAACCCAGTTCTTTCAGTGAACACGGTGGACTGCACAGGTGACATGCAGAAGTTGGCCAACCAGTTCACATCTTTGATCTCTTCGCAGAACTTTGAGCCAGACAGCCTCGAAGCTTTGAACTTGCGAATCTTGAAAGGCACGGCTGGGGGCAAGCTGTCACAAAACCCAGCTGCAATGGGCATAGTTCTACAATGTCTTGAGCTCATAGGCAGATCGGAGCGCGGTGTGTCCATGAAGAAACGCCGCAAAATGGGGGACAGGGAGGAAGGGATGGTCCATGAGGCCGCAATGCTCTTGGCCAGCAATGGCTGCAGCGCTGAACTCATGCAGCAGATGGGCTTCAACAAGGAGTCGACTTTGAAGACTCACAATCGCCTGGACAACTTGCTGGAGCAAAGCCTGCCATGCCCGGCTCTTTCTTTGTTGTTCCCCGGCATCATCGAGCGCAACATGCAGCTCATCGACAGCATCATTCCTCGACAGATAGCCCGCAGGAGAAGGATGTGTGTCGCATTTGACTTCACGTACTTAACCCCCATCCACAGCACGGTCCAACTACATGGGAAGAAGGCCCTGGTCGGCAGCCCGTTCACCATGAAAGACCTTTCCACGGATGCTCCTGGCAGCTTTCAACAGATTCTGCAGGGGAGAGAGATGGGGAACCGAGTCAAGGCCAATCGGATGTGTCTGGGCTTGTTAGTTGGCAAGATCGGGCCTGAAAAGGAGATAACATATTTTGAAATTGTTTGGTGTTTATTGAATGGAATGTTTTACAATATGGTTAGGTTTTGAGTGCTTCAAAATGAACCTGCTTCCATTATATAAACAAGATCCTGGTAAGGTCAGCTAGAACAATTTTGTCCTTTCCAAGACTTTTTTGGCATCGGACGGATTGCCAGTTTCAAATACGGGATTTTTAATGATTTTTCCATTTTATACACCACCGGGATTGGAGAGATTCGTTTCAACTTCACGATTATAAAATGGATTCTTATCAGGCTGGGTAGGGGTGTGAGAGTTGAGCCAAGTATCCCCATCCATTTCATAGAGCAATATAAAAAGACATCAAAAGAGTAATCCAAATGAACTTCATGCATCTACTTGCAGCAAAAGTTTCCCAGGTTGGAGCTGGTGGTTTGGGACCCAAGCTCTTCGAGCCTTCAATGCTGGAGCCCGATGAGCTTACCTCTCTCCTTAAAGTACCTGAACACTGATTCTACTGATTCCAGTTGGGACCCTTGCCGTTTTGTGGGAGCTGGTAAACAGATTTCAGGATCTGAGGCCATAGATACATGATGATAAATGATGATAAATGGATATGTCTGGAATATTCTGGAATATTACTTACCATTATTTTATTATTAAATTCTACAAAGTTATTATCATTTCAATTATCATTTCTATATGTTTATTTCATATATATATATATATATATGCAAGATTATCCAAATCTCCAACTATATGTCATACTATGTCAATATTTTTGAAGGGTTTTATCAGATGGATAATCTTCTGACGCCTTTGGATTTGGGGTGCTCTGAAAAAGCCACAGACAAACCACCCCATCGAGTAACAGTTGGAATGATTTACCCCATACTTTGGTTTATAAAATGGATAGTCTTCTGGTACCTCGGGATCCGGTGTGATTCAAATAGTGGAATTTTCATGAGTTGTCCATTTTATAAACCACCCATTGAGCAACAGTCGGAATGATTTACCCCATACTTTGGTTTATAAAATGGACCATCTTCTGGTAGCTCGGGATTCGGTGTGTTACAATTACTGGAATTTTCCATTTTATACAAAGATGGCGCCATCTTTCCATGTTATGAACCCCGGTGCCACAGATAAACGTCAAACCATGAAGACCTTGCATGTCTAAGATCACACCCAAGTATCCAACTATATGGTTTATTCATGTTTATTAATGTTTGTTACAAGATTATATTTCATTTATTATCATTATATATCCATGTCATGGATATATATATATAATTATATATATATCCCAGATGCTGGCAAGTAAGAAAGATTGGTTTTCACTGGTTTCCCTGCTTTTAAACATGTCGAACAACTAGTTGCTAAGGAAGTTTTCAGAATGCTGGATGCTTTTGCAGACAGGGCCTCAGAGTATTGCAAGCTGTTCATCTGTGATGGAGAAGCTTGCAACTCCATTCTGAAATCGGCCATTTGCGGCCAGTTGTCCCCAGAGCTCAAGCGGAAGATGTTCCAAACCAAATTCTTTTCTCGGCTACGGCATGTTCCCATTCAGGGTTTGGAGGAGCTTCCTCACTTTCCAATCAGATCGTGTTTTCTGGATGACGGCGATCCCATCTTTTGCATGCCGGGGTCGGCCCATGCAGTGAAGAATGCGGCAGGCCAGGTTTGCAGCGAGACAAAGGTGCCTTACTTTGGGCGGCATTTCTGTGATGCCACGGGTGCCTTGGAATTCTCCTTGCCAATTCCAGCCTACGTCCGGAAGGATGGCATGTCTGACCGTTTGTCATCGCTGCTGGCCAACCCATTCTTTCTGATGCGGTTGAGAGACAATTGGGTTTGCAAATTATTTCAAATGATGTCAAATTATCTTTTAATGTCTTTTGGGGCCCTCATCATTATGGGCTCTGATCGGACAAGTCATATGTCTTGAGCAAGACAGTATGTAGATGATTGTGGATGTATGCAGATGATTGTAAATGTGTATGATGATGATCGATGATGATTGTAGATCATCAGAGATGCATGTGCACGTAGCCATGAATTTGCCCATATTCATGTTCTTTTTGTAGCCAAATACCTGAGGGGTGAGGGGTTTGGGGCCCATTTCATAGGCATAATTCTTGAACGACCCAGGATGACACAGAGGGTGCCCAAGTCGACATTCCATGGCACCTCAGAGGAATGCTGCTCTGGAATGTTTCCACCGCTATGTGCGTGGTGCCTTCGGCTGGTTTAGGGAAAGGCTCGTGAAGATTCGGGCAGCAGTTAGATTTTGTTGCACCATGTTTTGGTTTATAAAATGGATTATCTTCTGACATATTTGGATTTGATGATTCCAAAATTGGACCTTTCCATTTTATAAACCACCCATCGAGCAACAGCTAGAATGATTTACCCCATACTTTGGTTTATAAAATGGATAATCTTCTGGTATAGCCTCGGGATTCGGGTATTTCAGGCACTGGATTTTTCCATTTTATACACCGTGCCAGTCTACAAAGAATACATGACATGGTTTGTAATAGCCAATTTCTTTTGAGCATGTCCCGGATTTTTTTTATTCATCCAAGGCACCAGCTGTGCATGGTGCGCTCACATTGGCCACCAGGTGCGAGTTGGCAATATGTGGACACATTTGCTACGATTTGTGGGCCTTGACGTCCTCGCAGAGAGAGAAAGAGCAAAACGTTGCAAAAGGTAAGTTCCAACTTGCCCACCAGACGCGTCGAAATCTACAAGCAGTTGCGCTTTCCACAGTGGCGATGTGCGCCTCAAAAAGTGATGATTGGGATGCCTTTCGTCACCCACATGGTTTGTCAGAGATCCATATCGAGAGGTTTTTCGGGCGTCTCCGTGCCTATTCGGCTTCAGGGGATCTGTCTGCAAGACAGTTATGGAATGCAGAAGCAGTACAGATGAGACGTCTTTCAAAGACAAAGCCTGCAGGCCACGTTCCAACCGCTGCAGAAGAGACACCTTTGAACGCGGCACAGTTACTTGTCTTGCAGCAAATTCAGAGTAGTGTTGGGGAGTATACCTTCTGCGCAATGAACAAAACACATTCCTTTTTGAATCTTGCGACACATGTTGGAAACGCTTGTAAACGTATGTAAACGTTCAGATTTTGGGCCAGCCTGTGAACATTAGGCTGAGATCCTGCGCGCAGAATGCTTTGAATGCAGCGTTGCAGCTGGTGTCCCAGGCTAGCGGGATCGCCTCGGGGAATTTGCTCAGGGAGTACATGGCAGAGAGTGTAGGCGACTTCTTTGAGATAGAAGAGGAGGAGACAATCAATGAGGATCTGCTTGGCGAAGGTCAAGTTGATGAAGTGAGAGCAGTGCTGCATCAAATTGAGCAAGTTGCTGCAGATGAGCACAGAAACGAAGCGGCCTTGGATGAGTCTGAGGCACCACCTCATGATGCTGACCTGGAGTTGCCAGATGGCCTGGCATTGGTGGAGCTGACATCACATGATCCAGCAGACACAGCTGCGGCGAAGGACCCTGTGCTGCTAGATCTGTTTTCACGTGTTAACATGTGTTATCATGTGTTAACATGTGTTAATTATTGTTCATCTTCGGTTCAACTATGTTCAACATCGAGCAACAGTTGGAATTATTTTCCCCACACTTTGGTTTATAAAATGGATAATCTTCTGGTACCTCCGGATTCGGTGTGTTTCAAACACTGGAATCTTCATGAATTGTCCATTTTATAAACCACCCATCGAGTAACAGTTGGAATGATTTCTTTGGTTTATAAAATGGATAATCTTCTGGTACCTCCGGATTCGGTGTGTTTCAAACACTGGAATCTTCATGAATTGTCCATTTTATAAACCACCCATTGAGCAACAGTCGGAATGATTTACCCCATACTTTGGTTTATAAAATGGACAATCTTCTGGTACCTCGGGATTCGGGTCGTTTCAAGCACTGGATTTTTCCATTTTATACACCGTGCCAGTCTATAAAGAATGTGTTGCCAGATCTGTTTTCACGTATTAATTATTGTTCATATTCGGTTCAACCAAATTCAACCCAATTTGCAAAACTAACATAGCCAAATTATTTCCATCATGCACTAAAATTTTGTAAAAACTGATAAAAGTTGATAATTAATAAGTTTCAGATCGGTGTATCAGTTACACCCAGTTTTCCGATAGTATGATGTATCCATGATGTATCCATTTTATTCAAATTTATTCAAACATTTTGTGAGGAGATCTCCGACATGGAAAACTTCCCGCAGACTCTGAAGGCTGCGTTGGCGAAGGATGGCAACATATGGTCCAACCTTTGGCAATTGGCTGTGTTCCTGAGATGCTCAGTTGGTGGCATGGATTCCGCCTACCTGAAGAAGGGTGAGGTGATCAGACAGAGGGCGCGTAAACTCAATTGGCATCAGCCACTTTGTCAGCACTTGCCTTGCTTTTTGGCTTACTTTAAAATTCTATGTCCACTTGGTCCCTTCTTGGACGGGTATGGAGCAACCATGAAAGTTTAGCTTCCGTATTGTTTCACCCCAGGACTTTGGAGCATGAGCTGAAAGAGATCAGGGAGCAGGAGGATGAGATGCTGGCTGGACAGCGTGGCTCCCGTTTGGCAAAATGGATTGCAACCAGCGACAATGTGAGACAGCAAGCTGGGCTGACAGCACCTGAAGCGATGAAGTGCCTCGGTTTTGGTTCTAGCATGTTGTAGCCAATGGTTGAATGGTGATGGCATATTATGGCATATTTATAAAATGGTCATTCCAGTTGAACTAGTCGCCTTTGCTACTGCAATTAAATTGACAATCCATTCTATAGTTCCTCCCCGTCAGCCCTGCATCACTACACCTTTTGATACCTTTGTATGAAATGGAATTACCAATTGTTGCCGAGCATAGTGTTGGATATCTTTCCATGTTGATCCATTACATATTTCAACCAATCAGTCAATCTATCCATTTATCATCATTTATCTTTTTCAATGCTATTTTTACATACATATATATATTATATACTATATGTATATATATATATATATATATATATTATGTATATATATGTGCCTGTATTTGAATTATATATATGTAAATATACCCATTTTTTTTGCTAGAATTCACCTATTTGGGGCCCTGCGCCGCCTAGGATTGGGAAGGTCGTGGTGTTGCACACAGGCACGGCGGAAGTGGCCCTTGTGCACACCATGTGGCCAAACTCGAAAAAACCAAAGCCGTGCGTTCAGGAGCTTCCCCTGGATCGTGTCAAGTGCTTCAGGGCCACAATCTTGCTGGAAAAAGAAGGTTCGGATGCGGTGTCTCCAACGGAATTCACTTGGATGTACACACCTGAGAATGTGCTTGCAATCCTGGATGTTATGGAGGCGGACGTGGCAAGCGGCAAAATCGTGCTGACACCAAGCTCCAAGGCAGCGTTGTCAACTTTGAAGGCCCAAGAGCTGCCCGAATTGGAGGTGAAGAACAGACGAAAGCGCCGAGCAAAGGAAACCGCAGAAAAGGAAGCTTCAGCATCATCCGCCAAACTTTCCTTCAAGTCCGTGGCCAAAAAGGTGAAGATGGTTGCAGCAGCATCCGCAGCAGGAGATCCTTCCCAGGCCGATGAAGCGAGTCTCATCGGACCAGACGACATCAGACGAAGCATCGCAGGCAGGAATGCCATCAAGCGCTTTGCCTCGAAGCTTCTGGACTTGGATGCTCTGCATTTTGCAGAGCAGCCATGCTTTGACCTCCTCTCCCGCGAGTGCACGTTGAAAGTGGCTAAGGGGTACAAACGCAAAGACTTCCTCAACCACATTCCGTTGTATTTCCAGTACGAATACTTTTCAGTCAGATCTCCGGAGCACTATGGGCACAAGGTCCACTGCGCTCTCACGAAGATCTTGGTGGAACTGCAAAACCCAGTTCCTGAAAGGAAAGGACTGCAGAAGCTGATTGCGGACTGCAAGTCTTGCAAGCTGAAGGGGTCAGTCCAAGCATGATGAGAAAAAAAGCTGTTGGGGTCTCTGGTGCGCTGTCATGGGGCCCCAAATGGGAGTCGATCTAAAACCCATGCAAAGCTTTTAGATGCTTTTAGTATCCAAGATTATCCGAGTGACATCTGCAGATATGGATGCGTCTGTTTTTCTGCAGTGGCGCAAGACCACGAAAGGGCGGCGAAAGGTTCGCACAAGGTCTGCATACCACTATTTATCATTATTTAATATTATTTATCTATAAACATATATAATCATATATGGAAGACGTTCCATTTCATACAAGGGGAATTTTACAAACACCTATGTTGTTTATAAAATGGATCGTTCTGGTATGTTAACGTGTCTGAACATAAACAATAATTTTATCTTAAAATATCTTAAGATGCCTTAAAATGACCCCCTCAAAAAACAACCAATTCCATAATATACAAGTCAATTTTTCTTGGTTTCAAGAGTTCATTTTTATGCCATTTCCATAACATACTGGCGAAGCATTTCTTTGCACATCCGGCCTGCTAGGTAGTACAATGGTGGTATTCCATAATATATAAGCCCAAAAAAGGATCCATTCTATACAAATATTACTGGACCCAACCATTACATAAACCAGTTTTTTATGGAATGGTGGGGAACGGGTTCCTACCCATCAATCAAGGGGGATATAGATGATATGTATATATATATATGTATACATATATATATGTATATATATATATGTGTATGTATGTATGTATGTAGGTATGTATGTATGTATGTAATGTATGTATGTATGCATGTATGTATGTATGCATGCATGCATGCATGCATGCATGTATGTATGTATGTATTGTATGTATTGTATGTATGTAATGTATGTATGTATGTATGTATGCATGCATGCATGCATGTATGTATGTATGTATGTATGTAATGTATGTATGTAATGTATGTATGTAATGTATGTATGTATGTATGTATGTATGTATGTATGTATGTATGTATGTATGTATGTATGTATGTATGTATGTAATGATTTATGTATGTATGTATGTATGTATGTATGTATGTATGTATGTATGTGTGTATGTATGTGTGTATGTATGTGTGTAATGTATGTATGTATGTATGTATGTATGTATGTATGTATGTATGTATGTATGTATGTATGTATGTATGTATGTATGTATGTATGTATGTATGTATGTATGATGTATGTATGTATGTATGTAATGTATGTATGTATGTATGTATGTATGTATGTATGTATGTATGTATGTATGTATGTATGAAATGATATGTATGTATGTATGTAATGTATGTATGTATGTAATGTATGTAATGTATGTATGTATGTATGTATGTATGTATGTATGTATGTATGTATGTATGTATGTAATGTAAGTATGTAATGTATGTATGTATGTAATGTAATTATGTAATGTATGTATGTATGTATGCATGTATGTATGGTAATGTAATGTAATGTGATGTGATGTAATGTAATGTAATGTAATGTAATGTAATTAATGTAATTAATGTATGTATGTATGTATATATATATATGTGTGTGTGTATGTGTTTATTTGTTTATTTTTTGGAACGTTTACCCATTTAATGGGAGGAAATGCACAGGAAAATCCGTCCAACTGGACCACAAAGCAGCGTTTCACCATGGGGGTTTTACGAGCGTCTCTAGACGGAACTTACCCTCTGGTATACTAAGATGGCTATGAACACATCACCATCTTTAATATGGTTTTAAAACAACTATCAATGGACCATTTTAAATAGCTATGTTAAATTACCAGAGGGTTTACCCCCATATTTGATGGTAAAATATGTGAAATCTATGTTCTCATGGATCTTTTCCTTCGTTTCTTTCAAGCAATGTGAGAAGAACAAGCAATTTGACTCGATGATCCCCAAGGTTGGCGGGACGGTGTGCTCCGGTCATGTGGTCCCCTGGTCCTCTGGTCATCCCTGGTCTTTTGATATATTCTGTTTTATTTAATTCAAAGGTGCTGCAGTGCAAATACTGCAGACATGAGAAATTCTTAGTTCATGGTGGTTCCAAATCTTGCAGATACTCTGCGGTCTTTTCGGATGCTAAAAAGGATTGCTACTAGCAAGTGAGACAATTATTGTCATTCCACACACTCCAATGGTCCAATGCAACATGCGATTCACCAACCAATCAGAGGTCTCAATCTCAACAGCACCAACCTCAGCTGCGCCACGAAATCTGACAATCTGACCTTTTTAGAGCCAGCAACGCTGAGATATAGAAAACTATATAATGTTGCAAATATCGTGCTGACACATAGGAAAGAAATCAGAAGGTTTTCAGTTGGGGTTGTTTATTATAATTGATGCAGACACACCCTGAAAACCATGCGAAGTAAAGAAATTATTTGTTCCAAATGCCCGAGATACGACGTAAATACCACGCAAACAAAAAACAACATTTGTTTCGTCCAATACGTTGCTGACGATACGTACGCATACCATGCATTTCTGTGTGTATGTTTGTTTTCTTCTGTTTTTGTTTTCTTGATGTTGCCCCCGACCTGATGCTATGCAACATAGATTATATACGAAATATTTTCAGACATACAGTCCAAAATCGGATAAAATTTATGATAAAATTGGTGTTTATATCCCAATCCATTCCCTATCATTCCCTTTTATTTCTATTTCATTATACCCAAAAACTATCTCCACAAAAAATATCCCCATATATCTTATCCACACCGGATTTTTTTGAGGTATAACAGCTGAGTATTTGAAGACGCAAGATCCACTTGGACCTGTCTTTGAGGACTTTCTGGAAGTCGATCAGCGGCTCGGTGTGGGTGAAAAACTGCGGAACTGCGGGGCTCGGGTGAAAGACTGCCTGTAAGAGTCAGCGCTAAAATGACGGAACATTATTGCATTCATTACTGTATTAGGGCAAAATGACGGATTTTTTTAATATTTTTTTCTGTCATTGATAATGATATTGGGCTGTATTGAAATACTGATTTGCCAAACATCTTGGCAAAGTAGCAATGAATTGAACAGTACTGTAATGCAAATTACTGTGCGATCTTTTCTGGTTTACTGCACCTCCCGGCAAAACAAGATTAGATGATGGGATATGATTAATTAGTATCGAAACCCATGGGTTTTCTTGGGAAATGGTTTGCAAATGGTGGATTTCCGATTAGTATCTCGATTGATTTGGTGATAAAGGTTCGATATCATTCATGCACTGCATATTTTTACCCATGACGAGTTTTTTTTTTTTTTCCCGGGAATATCTACGGTCAGGTTTGACTGGTCAACACCAGGAAGCGACTGAAAGGATTTTCGCTGGGTTGGTGGTTTGGAAGATGACGCTGCTAGCAATCTCTTTACCCTTCTCCACTTCTCCCAAAAACAATATTGTGTGCACCTGCAGGGCTTGAGGTGGCAGGTCATTTCATGTGTAGCCACTCTTACTGTAGTTTTAAAGATTGCTTGACCTTCTCCAACCACCTGCGCATGATACTACAAGTTCAATGGAAGAGCACCTGCCTGTTTCAAGGGGATAGTTGCCACCATTCGTTTGGATGGCCACAAAATTCAGGGATTTGGGGGTTTCAACTGTGATGGAGCCCATGGGGTCCTGAAAATAGCAGTACCCCGGTGCAGCTTCGAGGGCTCCAGTCAACGCCCTTGTGGAAAAGGAGAGCCCGGATGTTATCGTTTCTGACTACGCGAGTGGTGCGCCCTTCGAAATCTGCAAGGAGAAGAACATTCCACTGGTGCTGAACTATCCCTTGCCTGGAACTCTGGCCTCTTGCTACCATCTTAAGCCATCGCACCTTTAGAATATGCTGATTCTTTCTCCCCGTGTTTCAAAGGGCGGCCAGTAAAGCGACATTTGACACGGATAGCGGGTGATAGCGGCTGATAGCTGGCTTTACTTTAATATAATATGTTTAACGACTGGCTTGCCTTTGATGCAAACATACGCGCAGCCAATCTCTTTCATTCCAAAAAATACAAAAATGTGTTGGACCTATTTTAAACAATATTAAACATTTATTTACTGTAATCTATTTGCTGATGACTCATGACTGAGGAAATGCCCCAATCTTATTATGTGTTCCTTTGGGGGCTCGTTTTGGACTGTCCTGTGTGAAATTTGCCCAGTTCGTATACCTGCAGACGTCTACTAAATTATACTAAATTGCTAAGGACTACGTTTACTACGTAGATAGGACGATTGGATCAGATTGATTTGAATTTCATTCCGTACATCTGACTTGGTGTGGCAAATCAAAAACACTTTGATTTTTGTTCGGATACCAGTTCGCCACCATTGTTTGTCTTGATTTTGAGCGGAGATGCGACCCCGAGGCTAAAAGGATGAGACTGCTGATCAACGTCCCTCTCATAGGGCCACTTGGGTAGAGACAGAGAGAGCCGGCCTCGGAACGTCCCAAATTCTGAAGGTTTTAAACAGTTCAAGAATCAAGAGTACAGAATTTAAGCATCTAAATTGTTGGTACACCTTGGCAGGTCAATGACGGTTAATGATAATTGACTAACCAAGACCGGCCAAGACGAAAAAAAACATATATGAGCTGTCTAAGATAGGGCCTGAGATGTGGTTTTCACTGCCAATGCTGGTTGGGGATATAAACAATAAACCCCAGTTGACTGAAATTTCCACTATGGGGTGGAAGCAGCAATCAGAATCATGTGGGTCAGTGTAAGTTGCAAGGGACATCATCCCCAAATGTTTTTTTTTTCAAGCCTTTTTGTGTCGGGGGTCGGTCCGAGAGCGAATTGGTTGGCCTTTTATCTAGTTGGTGAAGAATTGCAATTTTATCCATATATAATATATATATATATATAACTATTCGTCCTTTAATGTACTTCGCCAGGTATCAAAATCAAAACTCTTGGCTGGTGGGACATGGTGGGTATGTGCCTCACAGCGAAACATCAACAGCTGTTGATGTGATGTTCGAACAACATGTGTGTGTGTGTGTTCTGTGGCAATCTGAGATGATTTGTGATGGCAATGGAAAACCTGTGTAATTAACTTCCCAGCAAGATGTCCATCGTATCTATCGTTAAGATATTAAGATACTGGGTAAATGTGTTTTCTTGTCTCTTTTACCCTGAAGTTTTCTCATGCAACAGCTGGCTGGTTGTCACAATGAGATTGGTTTGAACATGCACACATCGAAGGATTGCAGCGTGCCGTGGGGAACATCCGCGGGTCGTTTTTGGGTCGTTCTGGGGCACACCCCCAACTCAGTCCACTCGTGATTTTGTGGTTTAAATGGTAGCTGGCCAAGCGTGCTAGCTCGACAATATGCCACCAAAGGAAGTCCTTTCATCGGCAAAGATACAGAGGCTACCTTTTGCCGATATAAATTATAATTAATTTAGATGCTTGGGTAGTTGCGCACAGCAAAAACGATAGAGAAACCAAATTGAATTGATGAAGTGCATGTGTAAATTTCCAATAAGGACCGTCAAGAGCTTTTACAGTTGAAAGTGTTGAATAGCAGTGCGCCAATTGGGGAAACAATATCTGATAACATGCTTCATGACAGTTTAATGACAAAGTGACTTCTAAACATGAATGACGGTGTGCCATTGGTGGTTGTGTATATTGAAGCCCTATTCCATTCATGTAATAATGATAACATTTGGACTACACAAAAATGTGAAACCAAATGGCCGAGATGAAATTCTACAGCGATGAATTCACAAAATACTACCGTTTTGGCACTGCTGTGCTACGATTGGCACCCGGTAACTTTTGGTGCTGGGTTAACCCTCGGCATGGGGACTGCCCTTTGATGAGGTCACATGTCGGATATCCGTTTTCATGATGACCCCAGTCATCAGTGATGATAATTCTATATTTTATAATGCATAATCTATGTATATACATATGACATATTATGCTCTTTAAACTGGCTGGTAGATAAGCTAGATATTCCTAGTGTCCTAGTGTTGACAATATATTCTTTATCCATGATTGTTCCATTTCAAACTGACCCATGACTGAACGGAACGAGTTTCGTGACTCAGGAGAGTTGTACCTTACGTCTTGGGTAACGGTATGAAAAATGCAGCTTGTCACAGCTATTCGTGGAGGGGCCCTGAGCTCACAGGAGGACAAAGATCTGACAGAAAATGACGGCTGTAGAAGTTGTTGTTTTTTGTGTGTGTTTTGTGATTTGCAAACACCTATTTGATGATAAAGCCCAAGGATGACCAAGAATGGCCAATAATGCCAAGATGTTTGGATGATTGTGGATGGGTTCAGAAATGATCAGAAATGTTGAAATCAGCGATCTGCATTGTTCAATCATCATCAGTATTTGTACCCTCTGGTAAACATACAAAAAACTATGGAACATCACCATGTTATTTTTGGGAAAATCCACTATTTCTATAGATTCTATGGCCATTTTCCAGTTCGCTAAACTATTGTAGGTTGACCAGGCCGGTAGAACTACCCATGGACTCTCTGGCATCGCTGCAGGGGATCATCTTCATCAACCATCGCGTCATGCCAGTCTCCAATCGGACGCTGAGCATCGTGAACAGCTCACCAGTGCTTTGGCGCTTCGCTGGGGCCGTCGGGGCTGAAACGGACGGCTGAAACGTGCGGCTGTGCGTTCACCAAAAAAGTGGGTGTAGGCCCAGCAGTAGTTGAAAAATGTGGTGATTTTTTAGAAATCTCTTGGACTCTTGGACGTTGAAATAGGAAACTTATGACGGTGGAGGACAGTGGAGGATTTTCCACCATGCTTGATGACACCAGAGGGTACATGATCGCACCCGGAAACTTCACATTGACATTTGCACTGCCCATACAGATATACAGAGTTTCAAAAAAAATGATGGATTCCTAATAAAGGTGTACCCCAAATCATCCAAGTCATGGACAACCATCTTAGTATTGAAACCGGTGACGACTGGGGAAATTTCCATTGACGTCCCAGAACAGTCGTCCAGTCGTGGGCTTTGGCGCCTGGGCGCCTCGGTGCAGGCCTTGGATGGGCCGATCCAATTTCCATCCAACTACTTCCTCTCAGGCGGCTGGGATGTCGGGATGTCGGGATGTCGGGATGTCGGATGATGTCCATCCCCAAACCAGAACTCGTCGTTGCTTAAGGTACTCCGACGATGGTGTATGATGCTTTATGATACTTAAACCTATGCCTATAAGCTATAGTATATAATTGGATTTATAAGCCCACAATAATATCTTATAATTGGGGGGGGCACATTGTACTCTCTGGTTATCGAACAATTTGAAATGGAAAATCTTCAAAGGGGTCATTTACCATGGTGGCGTTGAAGGGTTTAAATCCCCAAGACTTGCCAGATCTTCTCAGCCAGATCTTGGGCAAAATAGTCTTCAAAAACTAGAACACTGGCCCGTCAGGCGATCAGATTGGCGTGTTATTACATAATATATATATACATATAATTTATTATATATTATAATATATATATATATTAATGCCAAGTACACATGGCAGCTGGCAACTGCAGGACCTTTGGATGGATTCGAGAAAAGGGAACTGTGTCCAGAAACTTGGCCCGTTGCAGCTGCATGAGACACGATCTGGGACTTTGCACCACGGCAGCTATAAAAATTGCAGTGATGGAACTGAGGAAAAACACGCGGATTTGTTGACCTTCTTGGAAAAAGCACGAAGCGCGCAGAAGCCGGTGGCATACATCACCACAGGCGGCTGCGCAGGGAGGGTCAACAGTGGAAGTGTCTTGGGGTCACGTCCTTGGGCAGTCCAAGTTGCGTACAGTGGCATAAGTTTTATCCTAATTCCCATTGAATTGAATTGGCGGGTTTTATCGTTCTTATCTGTGGATCTGAATAACGTGGAGTCAACCTTGGTTTGACTAGGGGGGGGTTTAAGGACACATGGAAGATTCATGAGGAGCAACATCTTCCACCGAATATGAAGTTGTCAAGGGTGACGCAATCTCCATCTAGACCTAATAGTTAGTACCCCAAACTTGCCGTGGCTTAAGAAAGCACCCACGATAGATGGTCTGACAAGTCTGATATGATCAAATTATGTGTAAAAACAAATATGGCCGTATCGTCGGTCTTCCGTTTGACTGCGTTGACAAGATGAAGGTTGGTCACTGGTTGTCTATGACACGGCTTCCTGCCTTTGGACGAAGGGAAACACTGACAGGACCCCTGAAAACCTACGAGCACAAATTTGTAAAACCAGATGTAGAAAATAGAGCACGTGTCAAAACTTTATTCAAAAATGAATAAAGACCATTGGATTTCGATAGGTTTCCTATAAATCTGACACTTCCCTACACCAACCCACTATCAGCTGCCAGGAAGCTTGCTGCAACTAAGCCAAGAGCAGGTCATTGCGCTGTATGTCGCTTGGAATTCTTGTTGGAGTTGGTTCGCAAATGCCCTAGGATTTGCGGGTTAGACCCTTGCGGTCTTCCATGGTCTTCCCTTCTTTTTTGGAGAAAAATAAAAAAGATCTGGTGCGTGTTCTTGTATTTTCCCTCCGTGTTAGCCAATCAAACGCATTTAAATCGCAATGGTTCCACCTCATTCAACCCCAACACGTTGCCGACCATTTGGCCAAGGCCCCTGTAATTGATCGTAATAAGAACCAATACTCAAAATTGTTATCCCCTAAGACTGGTAACCTGGTATGTTTAATGTGTTCAATAATCATAACTTGGTTACACACTAATTCTTGGTAATAACTAACCATCCTTTTAGATCCTTTTAGTTGATGGTACGGTATAGATGGTTTTCCTTAGGTTTAATGGAACATATGAAGCCAATCCACTGGGTTGAGTCGGGTTGAGCACCTGACCTTGCGCGTTGAGGAAGGCTTTGCTGCCTGTGATATGTGGGTGGTATGGTCTCTGAAGAAGGACGCCCGGGGTCGGCCAGGATGGGGCGAGGCGAGGTTCTGTCCGAGAGTTTTGTCAATTCAGCACCTTGAAAAATCTTGAACATCATGGTGAACACCCACATAGATGTACATACATAAGATACTTATGTATATATATATATATTTACATTCATACATATGGAAACATATACTGTACGTATATACATACATGTTAGCTACCGTGTATGTACCTAATATGCTCATGTTAGTCGGTATGCATGACTTGGCACAGGGAGATGACCCAGACCCCATTGGTTCACAGCCGCAGGAGAAGCAACAGCTGCTTCCAGAGGATTTGCCCGAGCGTTTCTATGTCACTTGGCATTTCGGAATCCTATATATATATATTTATAGTTATACAAAAATGTGATATACGTTGTATGTATGTAGCTATATAAATAAACTAATGAATAAATAAGTATATAACCAACCAATGTATAAGCAGTATCCATACTTATCCAATGTATATTTACCAGTATCCAGTGTGTAACCAATGCATATATTATTATTGGATATCGGATGATACTGGTAATTGGTAATTATGTTTCTTTTATTTGGGATGATGATTTGAATTGTTTAATGGTTTTCAGCCAGGGGGTTATATCGCCTGCCAGGACAAAAAGCAGAAACACAGGGCCAGTGGGTAGGTCCTATCCTAGGTGATGACGATTTTTTTTCGGGACCCATGGGTTTCTTCAACATCAGAGAATGGTTGTTGATGTTTTTGACTCATTTTGCTTGCTGTAAGTGTAATATCCCCAGCACATGTGATTATTGAATATATTTGAATATTATCAGCCAATGGTTTGATTTTCCAGAAGTTGAACCTGAAGCCACAACTAATGATATCTAATGATATCTAATGATATCTAATGATATCTAATGATATCTAATGTGTTTTTTCCTATGGTCCCAGGATGGTCCCAGGTGAAGCCGGATGGCTAGACACGCCAGGTGAACGCATGGATTCCACAGGCTGAACTGGTACAGCGCCCTGCAGCTTGGCCGGGCCGGACGTCATGATTTATCACTAAAGTTAAGTGGGATTTCGCGGTTCTATCCTCGTGGGGGCTAAATAAATAGATCAGTAAATAATAGTAAATACATATATATATATATGCTATATGTATCATTATGTATCTATTTATTTATTTTTTATACGCACAAGTATGCATAAACACATCACAGGATTATTATTTACATAGAAACTTCATGAAACTCTAAAAGTAGCCTATATGATCTATATGCTTGGATAAACCACAAGGACCTCACTACCACGTGACAATAAATCATGGTTATTAGGGGTAATGATTTGCGGATCGCTTTAATTCAGGACAGCAAATCCATTATTCATGCAGCAAAGCAACGCATGGCAATGCTGGGTAAAATGAGCCGTACTCAAGATTCAAGATTTAGGTTCCCGCACTCTGCACCCTTTCAGGTGCATTGAGAAAACCCCAATCACAACCCAATTCGGATTAATTCGGCCAAGGAGTTGTTGTGTGTTCTGACGCACTGCGGCTGGGGTGGCACATTGGAATGCATGTTGGCCGGCAAAGCGGTGATCTGTGGCTTGGCTGAGGTCTCCTGTGACTCCTGTGCTTCGTCGATTGTTCTTTAAATGGCTGGATCAATGGCTGGACGTAGCGGACTCATGTCAACGACTAATACACCCTGGTTGATTGATTGGGGGGTACCCCCAAAAAGTATCAAAAGTGATTTAGTAGTGATTTGGTCTCTTATTACAATGGTACGCCATCAATGATCAAGAGCCCAGGGGGCTTTAGCCTGCTTCAGGCTATGCAGGCTTCGGGGACCAGTTTGAAAATGCCAAACTGATGAATGCCCGTGGCTGCGGGCCAATTGTGTCTCTCGGCTTCGCTAGGAATTTCTAGCATGGGTTTTCAGCTGAAAATGGAGGATGCCCCAAAAAGATCCAAAAAGGACAACCTCAAGATACTTTGATAGGGACAATTGTGATAACATCAATTAATTAAGCTTTGTTTGATTGTTACATACCCCATGGTACCTTGAATCCAATGGTTTATGATTGTTCCCATTTTATCTCATTCAGTTCACTTTGCCATTTTGTGGCTAACGCATCTCTGATGTATAGAGAAAAAGGTGGTACTGTACTAGTTGGATATGAAATCCAGGGAAGATAACACACACACATATATATATATATACACGCAATTACAATTACATTTATTTGGACAAATTATAATGTCCGTACTGTGATGTGGCTGGAATGATGGCTAGTAAAAGGAATTATCCCTCAAATCCTCATTTCAGTTATTTTAACGTCAGTGAATGATTGTAATTCAGCCAGATGCATACGTGATTATACACCAAACAAACACATTTTGCTTCGGGAGGAGCAGCATAAATGCACGGATTTTTGGCATAGACACAAGACACACGGTGCAGGCTCCCCACTGCTGGGCGACGCAAAGGAACCACGACGCCATCATACGCCATCGTTATATCACCATGCTGTGTAGTGGTTGAAAACATGGTACCCTCCAGTAAACTAACATAGTATGGAAATGAACCATTTAAAAAAATATATATAGATGATTTACCATGATTTACCTATTCAATCAAGCCGTGATTTTCTATAGCATTCTGTAGCTATGTTAGTTAAAAACCATGGGGTCCAAATGTTCCATCCTACCTGGGATAGCCCAATATTTTGGGTGAAGCCACCATTTCAACCATAGATGCGCTGTACGGAGTTAGTCAACTGGTCTACTATATACCTGTAAGATTATAATAGACCATTCAACCAGTTATATATATATATATATTTGCTTGTATGCATATATATATATGTGATATGGTTTCCTGCAGTTAGATCCCTTTACAAGCCATTATAAGCCATCTATAGCCATATATAGGACCCACTAAATATAATACATATATATATACACACACATGCAATATAATCAGATATAGTCAGGTATAATCATGATAGAACCATTAGATAACCATTAGATAACCATTATACAACCAGAATATGGTAAGAAACGGTGTATGCGGGTTGTAACATCCACGGCCTGAACAACCGAGGTCGGACCCACCCGGAAGTACCGCCAAGGACATCCAAGCAGCGGTGGAGGATGTGCTGGAGAACCAGGAAAGACGCTCGTTGGAAACAATGGAAAGATATGGACAATTCATGTGGGCTACAGTACTTCAAGGCACTGTAACTGATCCAAAAGTTAAGAATCACAGTGGAACATCCTTTTTCCCCACCTGCCAGGTGAGGGTTTCTAGATTTTATCAGAGCTGCATCCCGCCTCAACCTCCTCCTCCTCCGCGTCGTCCACTGTGAGCTCCAAATCTCAATGGGGAATGCCGGACCTCAACCGCGAGCTCCAGATGTCAGTGCGCACTGCCGGACCTCAACGGCATAAATGTCAGAATAGATGCCTTGAGATGCCATGGTGGGGATCACTCGAAGCAAAGTAATTTGGAAAAGTCCTTGGGGTTACTTAAAGCAGCCAAAGTCTTCCTACATTCCTGTGGTTACACTGTAGTGTTACTGTCGTTTACGGCTTTGGAAGCCTTCCTCCAGGGTGGACTTCAGGCAGCTCGAGAGCAGGACATCCCCAAGTTGAAGTCACCCAACAGTCAGCTTTCTTTCTGTCAGGGTGAGAATTGCTAGTTATGTAGATCCCATGAACATCTCATTAAAACCGATAATATGAACAACTATATGTGACAAGCCGGATAAGTCATTCTTGGGGAGGTTGATTTTGGGTGAAACAGGCTGGAGTCCAATGACTGAAACTCATTGGTAGACGTGATGGAAGTTCTCGTCTTGGAAGCTCCTCAAACCCAAGACGTATGTTACCTGCACTGGACCTGCACCAACTGAGATCACCTGATCATATTACCCTCTGGTAATTTAACATAGCTATTGAAAATGGTCATTTATAGCGAGTTTGCCCATTAAAAATGGTGATTTTCCATAGTTACGTTAGTTTACCAGAGGGTATGCGTCATATTGGTTCCACTCTGTTCCACTTGGAAATTTTCTGAGATCAGTCTTTTGAATTGCTGGCCAGTTTGGAAGAGGGACAGAGATGAAACATGGATGATGCTGTGCCAAAGCTGCTTTGGCCAAGCTCAAGGAGTATCCTATACATAGCTGGGCAATATCAAGCTGGGCAGGATGCTCCCAACATGACCAATACTTTTTGGCAGATGCCCCCCATGTTGGCACATCCCCGTTTTTTGGTTGAATTCAACCAGACAATGCTACATGGATTGCGATCTAACAACCAAACACGATGGTAAGAGAATTGTAAAAGAGGGAAATCAAAGAAATCAACAGGTTTTGAATCATTCCCCTCCACATATGGTAGACCAACATTTAACACACATTTATCCCGGAATTTATCCCCTAAAACGCCCATACACAGAGCGGGTGTAACTCGCCCAGTTGCACCAGGCTATTCTGCGAGCGCCCGGAAAGTGTCTCAAGACCTGCATGCGTCGCCGGGGCCCACTGCGGTGGCCGAACGCATTGAAGACGTCGCGACTGGGATGGATTTTGGGTCAATGAACATAGGGGGCACCCAAGTGGGATAGTTTTAAGCACCAAAACATACTAAAAAACATCAAACAGTCGGAAGTATATGGTTCACAAGGTTCACAAGGTTCACAAATACATACACATGTGACTGTGTTTTATATTGCCAACATCGCTGAAATTGGGGTTTAGCTTGAAGATTCAATTACTGTAAATTACTGTATCAACTTCAGGAAAACATATATATAGAAAGGCAATTGGTCACGATTTCAGTCGGATTTTTTCCCTGGCGCTTTTGCGGGCTGCTGTGTACATCTACATGCATACATGTATGCATGCATACATTCATCCATATGTCTATATATACATATATATATATTATATTTATTTATTTATTTATTTACACGTGGTATATAATTCTAACTATATATATATATGCCATTTGGTGAAACATGTCGTGTTTCACATGAAAGGACGAGACTCGACTCAGCCCACGAGGTGAAGAATGGCATGGGTGACATGGTGCCCAAGCCGTACCACCTCCATGGACCGGAAGGCTGTCAGATCCAGTGACCCAGTGATGCATGGGCTCAGGTCATATGATCATATCATACCCTCTGGTAAACATACAAAAAACTATGGAAAATCACCATTTTCAATGGGAAAATCCACTATCAATCACCATTTTCAATAGCTATGTTAAATTACCAGAGGGTATCTATATTTGCAATAGCAATGTATGCATGATGTATGCATAATGTACGTTTGTCAGTGTTGTTTGATAGCTGGGTGCAATTCTTCTTGATATTCAACCTAACCCAACTTATATATTCGACATCCACGCTGTTTATGCAGTATGGAAGCCTATAGGCTTTGCCAAACAAAACTGTAGAGATCCCAAAATGTACAGCAGATCTGCCAGACCCAGGCTCCCAAAGTACCCATGAATAAAATTGTCGTTCACAGCAGCCCAAGCGGCCAAGCATTTTGAGACATGCCTGCGTTTGAAGGGTACATGGAGTGTCTGGCTTTTGGGACAGCACAGTTGTACAACAAATGTCCTATTTTTTTGAAGCTTGTGGCGGTTCGCCGGTTTGCCGGTTCGCCCATTTTGCTGTGTCCAGAAGGGCACTTTTTGCTTGTGGTGTCATCAGAGGCCCCAAATTGCCCCAAAGGCCCCAACTTGCCCCAACCTTCGTAGATCCAGTGAGCTGTAACCCATCTAATTCCGTAGACACTCTCTGGTTGGTGGTTTGGAACATGTTTTTTCCCCATACATTGGGAATTTCATCATCCCACCTGACTTACTCCATCATTTTTCAGAGGGGTAGGTTGAAACCACCAACCAGCTCTCACTCGATGTCACTCGAAAAAGTGGAGCGACAGTGGTGTGTTGTGAATGCCGGTTCGCCCTGGTTGATGAATCTCATCCCAAGACACGGCCCCTGAATCTGAGATACATGGTACATTGTACTGATGCGCATATACCGTATACCCGCATTATATATGCATACAATATAATATCATTATAAATTTTATATCATATTATTATATATATTTACTGTATGTGTATATATATATGTGTGTGTGTTCATATAGATACAGTATTTGCGCTTTTATCACATCATTTGCCTGCCTGACCGAGCTTCGTGAGCAGAGTTTGATCATGTTTGATCCATCAAACAACACGGAATGAAATCCAGCAGGACACCAGATCAACAAAAAAAAACACAATTTTTTTCTCAGGTGATGACTGCCAAAAGTTGACGTTCTGCCTTGGAAACACCTTTGCCTTTCGTTTTCCCAGTTGTGGTTCTGTTTCTTGCACCCATGTCCGAGCAAGCTGCCGCGCAACTGGCGCCCGAACTGGGGCATGAGAAGTTGAAGGTGGTGATCTATACTATCCCAATGATGCTCCATTGCAGCGGCATGGTTGGATCATCTTGGATCAAACAGCATCCGAAACAGGATGCGGGATAGTTGGAAAGCTGGAAAAAATAGGGAATACATCATCGAAGTACCATCGCGGTAGCACACTTTGCTATCTTATTGATCTTGTTGGGGGGTTGCCAAAAAAAGTACTAAGGTAATTCGAAACCATCTCCTATTGGGGGTTCTTGTTCGGTACACCCTTATAGTGTTTTCTATACCCCCGCTTGGTCCTACTTGGGTCGATGTAAAATGACCCCCAGCCATGGGTCCACGGCATGACACCGTCCAATAACTGTGCCATGGCTGGATATGGCTGTAAAGTTGGAAGAAATTGAAAAAGGTAGCTGGGGTCCATTCAGCATTAGAATGACTATATGAGTGTTGGTGCATCCAAACCTATCATTTAACAGTTGGGTTTTATAACTCCGATTTTCTGATGGATGGAATTAGACTGATTCACACTGTTTCAGCCACGCCTCATGAGTGTGACAGGTGTTTTGAGGCCTGGTAAGCACCAGGGCCTTTAAAGATCTTTAAAATGGACTTTGTTGCCACCAGGTTTTCACCACAGTTAAGCTAAGTTCGATGGTCAGTCATCAGGCTTCGCCCATGGTCATTGGCATATATGTAAATAAAGACATATTATATATGTGTGGATATATTCACATATTAACATATGATAACATATGTGTGTGTGTGTGTTCGAAACCTAGATGAAACTAACTACCTGAATTTCATCATGGAGTTGGGTGCCGCGGAGCCAAAACCTCCCCAACACCGAGCACCCGGCCCTTGGGTCCGCAGCTACTCAGGATGGGTCATGCCCTGCCAATGGTAAGCATTGGGCGCACCATGGCGCAACGTGGCCATCAGGTGATCTTTGCTGTCTCTGAAGGCGGCAACGGGGCGTTCCGGGTGGTAGACAGCGACGACGGATTGCCACTCAGCGATTGCCATTGGATTTCCATGATTTTAAGAGATCAAAATTGTAGTTGCAGAGATGTTGAGGCAAACTGGATGATTTTTAGAGAGAAAAACATCACTGCAAAAAGATGGGACTTTGGAATATTTGCAAGTTTGTGGTATTTTGTGTTGACATGTTTCTGAAAACCTTTTTCGCGAAGGCATGTAAAAGCTGCACGAAACGCAACCATTTCAATGCATAGAAATTATGTCAATGCTGCATGTTTCTGGTTAGAGGTGATCTTGTCGGTAAAAGCTCGACATAGCATGCCTTTTGAGTTTGACATTTGGAGCCTGGGAAAGCCATCCTGGTTTTCTGCAGTATCTTATTCGATATGCTTCGTAAACATGGTGAGGTTCAGTGGGGTTCAGAAAGGGGTCACTCCTGTCGTACTCCGTTTGGTCCAAATAAGATGTTCACTGACGATGGCCAAGGACCTGTAGCTCGTCACTTGAAGATGAGATAAGCTTAGATAGCCTGGTTGCCAATGCCAAAGCCCAATGAATCAAAAAGGAATCAAAAGCAACGCCAAATTTGCCGTGTGGTGTTTTTCACAAGCTTCAAATACATGCCGATCTTAGGTAGCTAGACACATATCAAACATTAAAACGATGTACACACATGCATGCATACATATTTATAGTATAGTTGTGCATGTTCTTCAATATCTTAAATGGATGCCATGACCTTCAGACCCCCCAAAATCTGACCAATCTCTACGAATCATCCTCTCAAAAAAGGCCTTGGCAGCAAGCTGAAAGACTTGTGCAAGGCGGCCGGCATGAGATATTTTGGCCTGTCGGATGGCGCCACGGATGCCATTAGATAGGATATAAAAGGTGTTTGAGAAGTGGACATGGCTTAAGCAGATTTATAGAGATGATGAGATGCTTGTATTTCTTGGAATGTTTCATGGGAAATGACCTAGACAATCATTTCAACTGGACCAGAATTAGTGAAATATGCTGTAACATGCTGTAATCATGGGGTGAAGAGCATCTCTGGACAAAAATGCCATCAAATCTAGATCCATCCAAGTTTCTCGAACAAGGGCAATTTCCAGGGTTTACCCCCATATTTGATAGTAAAATAGGTGAGATCTATGTTCTCCTACGATTTTTTAACATGTTTTTTACATGTTTTTTCTGTGTTTATTTCAACTTATATCTACCAATCCAACGAGAAGGACCCAAGGTTGACACTTCAGTGGTATGCTGGGGGAATGATAGTGGATAACGGCGTACTGGAAAAGAAATGCCAGACACCAGGAAAAAAGAAATATATATTGGAATTGGAAAAACAATTTAAGGCTCCTACGGTCATGTGGTCCCCTGGTCCTCTCGTTTTCTATTCCTTTGGTGTGGTCCTTTGGTCCCTTGGTACCCTGGTCCTTTGATATGAGGTTTTATGATGCTTTATGTTTTATTTAATGCCAGGATGCTGCAAATGCAAGTACTGCAGAAATGCGAACTTGTTGGTTCATGTTGGTTCCAAGTCTTGCAGATACCGTGCGAATGGATACCATGCAAGTGAGACAGTTATTGTCATTCCCCCACACTCCAAATACCATGCAAAATGCGATGCAAATTAATCAGAGGTTTCAATCTCAACAACACCAACACCACCACCATCACCACCAGCAGGAAAGGCACCAGCAGCAGCAACAGCAAACTTTGCTCGAACACCTCCCTCTACTCTGATCAGCCTCAAAATGTTACTTCACCTGCCACGAAATTTGATCTTTTTTAAGAATTTTAAAGCCACCACAGTTTCACGTGTACTGCACCGTCCATGAACGTGGCTTAATAAATCCTAATAATTGCAAAACTGAGATATAAAATCCAAAATGCTGCAAGTATCATGCACATAGGCACATAGAAAAAGAAATTAGAAGGTCTTAAGTTCAACTAGGTTTGTATACTATATAATTCAGACATATTCAACCATGCATATTCCAGAAATTGTTTGTTCCAAGTGCACACAGATACGACGTAAATTCCATGCAAAGGAGACGGCATTTGTTTCGTCCAATGCTGTGCTGACGATACGTGCAAGTACTATGCCTACTATGCATATTCTTTTTGCATGCATGTGTGTTCATTTTTGCTCTTTTGATCTTGCACACGCACCTGATGCAATGCAACACTGACGATATTCCCAATTCAGACATATGACATACAATCCAAAAGTGGATCAAGTTGGTATTATACCCCATTTCATTCCCTATCATTCCCTTTGCTATTTTATTCTACCCCTATATCCACACTATATCCCCCTTGACTCACCCAGTTAACTGAGGTGTAACATCTCCGTATTTGAGGACGCAAGATCCACTTGGACCTGTCTTTGAGGAGTTCCTGGAAGCTGATCAGCGGCTCGGTCAAGTTAGAACCAAGATTACTGGGCAAAGTGGTAGATGAAATTTAATTAAACAAATAGGAGTCTAAGCTAATTTGTACTATATACCCGTGGTCAAATGAATTTTGATTTTCCCAAGAATATCTACGGCCAGGCTTGACTTGTCAACACTAGAAAGTGGGCTAAAAGGTTTCTCTCAAGGTGGTTGCTTTGGAAAGTGACGTTGGGACCCGTGCAGGGCTTGAAGTAGTAGCTGATTTCACATGGCCGTTGCCACTGTTGGTTTTGAAATGTTTTGAAGATTGCTTGACTGCTTGACCTCCAAGTACCTGCTCATGATACGAGAGTTTCAATGGAAGAGCGCCTAACTTTCTTTTTAAGAGGATAGTTCCCACCGTTCGTTGGGATTGCAGGAGTTTCAAGTGTGAATGGTGACATGCTGATATTTGAAACAGCCCGGCGCAGCTCTAAGGGCAGATTTCGACGCCCTTGTGGAAAAGGAAAGCCCTGATGTTGTCGTCTCTGACTACGCGAGTGGTGCGCCCTTCGACATTTGCAAGGAGAAGAAGGTTCCTTTGGTACTGAACTATGCCTTGCCTGGCACTATTGCCTCTTGCTTCCATGTTAAGCCATCGCAGCTTGAGAAGACTAGTTTCTTTATCCCGATATTCAATATGACCAACGAGCGACATCTGACATGGCTAGCGGCTGATAGCGGGTTTTAGTTGACTTGCCTGTGATGCACACATACGCACATCCGATCCCTTTTATCAAGAAAACAAAACATTTGATCTTGCTCTATTTTCTCATGACTGGGGAAATGCAAAAAAGAACAGCGGAAATATATGCACAGTTTTTGTTTTTTTTTTCGGGGCTCCTTTTGGACTGTCCTTGTTGAGTTTTTTGGTGCCAGAGGTTAGCCACGACCGAGGTGAAAAGGATGAGAATCATGATCAACATCCCTTTGCTAGGGCCACTTGGGGGTCGCGGAATGTTCGTCCTCGGGGAATGGATGAGTTATCCGTTATCCCAGCTTGAAGTTTGCAAGAAAAATACGAAAAATCAACCATCAAGTAGATTTGATCATCAAAATTGTTGGTACAGGCTTGGCAATGTTTATTTGTGCTGGAATCATGAACTAACCAACACCAAAAACATCTACGAGCTGTCTTGGATAGGGCCTGATTCGTGTCGTTTTCACTGTCAGTGTCGGTTAGGGATATAAAAATAAGACATAAACCCACTTGACTGAAGTTTCTGGGATGGGGTGGAAGCAGCGATTAATCTCTTCCTCCTAATACTAAACGTCCCTTATTAATAAACACGGCAGGTAGTTTTTAGTATTAGGGGGGTATTTATTATTAGGGAACCCTATTAATAAAATTAAACCCTTAATAATAAAAACTATGTTTTTCCGATCTCAAAATCAATTAAATTTATTTATATAACGCAATTAAAATATTGCCAAAAATTGGATTTCGAAGCTTCCCCCTAATATTAAATTAAAAGCCCTAATATAAAAAACAAAAAAAATCGGACGGACCCTAATAATAAACATCCCGGGGTGAACTAGTTTTTAGTATTAGGGGGGAAAACCCACAAATGGTAGCTTGATTTTTAAATTGTTTTCTAAAAGGGATCAATTAAAAATCAAATTGGCCAATCTGAAATTTTCGGAAACTGGAGATGGACGCCTGTTTTTAGTATTTGGGGGACGTTTAGTATTAGGAGGAAGGGATTAGAAATTAGAGTCAGGTGACATTGTATCAATATAATATATTTGTGGATGCATTATTGCGACGTCACTGTAAATTGCAAGGGACATCATCCCCAAATGTGTCTTTTCAAGTCTCTTCGTGTCGGGGGCACGTCGGAAAGCGAATTGGTGGGCCTTTTTTCAAGTTGCAGGTTAGAACATATGATCTTATCCAGACGTGTGACGTGTGTTCTCCAATGTATTTTGCCAGGCATCAAACCAGCTGGTGGGACATGGCGGGTATGTGCATCACAGCAAAATATCAACAGCTGTCGATGTGATGTTCAAACAAAATGTTTGTGCTTTGTGGCAATCTAAGATGAATTGTGATGGCAATGGATCTGTGAAGCTTCCCAGAAAAATGTCCATCGTATCCATCCATCGTGAAGATATTGGATATTTTGCCTATCGAAGGGTGGGGATTTTGCATGATCGGGTCACATGATGGATATCCGTTCATTAAACCTGACTGGTAGGTAAACTATAGATATTCCTAGTGTCCCAGTGTTTACATATATATTATTGTTAATTGTTGTTCCATTTCAAACTGACCCATGAACGGAACGCTCACTTGAACTTGATTTGCCTTCCTGACTTAGGAGAGTTGCACCTTACGTCATGAGTGCCGACATGAAACATGCACCTTGTCACAGCTTGCATCAAAAACGCACCAAAGGATGAGAATGACCAAGACTGGAACGGCCATGATGTTTGGATTTTGGGTTCCGAATGTTGCAATGACCTCTGCTGACCTCTCTGCAACGTTGAAATCACTGCTCCACGTTGTTCAATCATCATCCACAGTATGTTTGGTTCCCTCTGATGTTTCAGTAGGAGCATATATGGATCTGGGTCAAGTAGCAAGGTAAACTTCGCAGAATTGGATGAGAAAAAATGCAGGAAACTGGCATGTCTGGTGGTATGCAAAAGCCACCGTTTCCGGTCGGTTTCCCCTGGAACCAATGATTTCCGTGACCCGGGTTACCCATCGCAGCCGCTCACCTTCATCAACCAGCGCACGTTGCCGGTCTCCACTCGCACGCTGAACATCGTGAACAGCTCTCCAGTACTTTGGCAAGTGGCAGACGCAGAAAAATATGGAATTTACCTGGGGATTTTGTCAGATCTACCAACAAATATAGAAACAATTGCCAGATTTTGCCTATTTTTGTTGGGGATGAGTGGGTTGGCCCATGTTGGCCCTAAGATTTTGATTCGAAATCACGAGTTTTCATGGTCCCATAGAGTTCACCTGGAGGATTTTCCACCATTTTCAACCCATTCCGCCATGGACAGATACCTTACCCATAGAGAGTTTTCAAGAACAATGAGCACTTTTTGAAGATTTTTGAATTTTGGAACCTCTGTTTGGTAGAATATGGTAGAATTTCCGGTCCTAGATGTTCGCTGCAAACCCTAGGTTTGCCCGCGGCGGATCCTGCATATCCTTTGACATGCTCCAATCCCTGCGTAGGGTTTAAGTTTTCTACTTTCCAAAAAAACAAACCTAAAATCCTAAAACCTAAAACCCCAAACCCTAAATTAAAACCCTAAATTTCTGAAAACTCAAAGTCAACTTCACTGCGAAAAACCAGTGTTTTCATGCATCCTCTGGTGATATGTATATCATATTGTTTGGATGTGTCGTTTGAGTGTGGGCGAATCCGGGGTTTGGAGATGTTTTCTGCATAGGCCAAGGCACGATGATTTTCACCCAGCTCAGGCCCTGGATGGACCACTTCAACTTCCAGCCAACTACTTCGTCTCAGGCGGGGATCCAACAGAAAGGGTTATCAGTTCGTGAATGGAAATGGATATGGATGTAATGAGTTGAATGAGGCTTAATGTGTATGTGTAAATAAAGTCTACAGGATGTGTTTCACAGTTTTGCTTCAAAAGGTGGGTTTGAATACCGGTTGCCGCGTGCGAAAGTGGATCCCCAAGACTTCCCAGATCTTCCCAGTGCCATAGTGCCATTACACCATGCCAAGCATGGCAACTTCACTGCAGGACCTTTGGATGGATTCGAGAAAAGGGAACTGTGCCCAGAAACTTGGCATTGAGCGTGTCGCCGTGAAGCTGAAGTTTTTGTGTCGCCAGATTGCCAGCCAGTCGTGGGGATGCCTTGAATGTCCAAATTCAGAAACAGTTCCTGGCAAAGAGCTTGTTTTTTCCCCACCTGTCAGGTGAGGGTTGTTAGATTTTATGTCAGCTGTCCCGCCTTCTCCTCCTCTTCCTGCTTCTCCTCCTTCTCCTTCTCCTCCGCCGGACCTCAACTGCAATCGCTAGATCGCAGTGTTCCCCGCTGGACCCGAACAGCAAGTTCAGGATCAGAGTAATCCCCGCCAGACCTCATATCGCGAGCTCCGGACACTGTGGACTGCGCCTGCACGAGTTCCGGGGCTGCGCCTGGGCCCGGACAGAGAGAATGTCAGAAGAGAATGTCAGTTCAGATGTCAGAATAGATGTCAGATAGAATTCCAGAATAGATGCGAGATAGAATGCCAGAAAGAATGGCAGATAGAATGTCAGAATAGATGTCAGATAGAATGTTAGGTAGCATGTCTGCATATATGCCTTGAAATGCCATGGTGGGGATCACTCGACGTAAAGTAATGTTTGGTGCGCATGTGGCAAGATGTGACAAGTGAAACGTGATTTGGGACCCTTTTGGTCTAGATCACCCCCCCCAAAAAAAAACACATAGCAACATATAGTTCCCAATTCTTTGTGTTGATGGAACTGAGGAAAAACACGCGGATTTGTTGACCTTCTTGGAAAAAGCACGAAGCGCACAGAAGCCGGTGGCATACATCACCACAGGCGGCTGCGCAGGAAGGGTTAACGGTGGAAGTGTCTTAGGTCATATCCTTGGTCAGTCCTGCAAGTGTCGTGCATATATATATATATAATTAAGTGTTACATAGTGTTACCCGTGTTTTCAAAACTGTGAATTGAATTCCGATATGCTCTGTGGAATGTTTGCCACATTTGGGTCGTTTAGTGGCACATGTTCACCCGTAACATTCCTTTCATGGAGCAAGTGGGGTTGGCATGTCTTATTGTTTCCATCCCTGGTTCTGAAGAATTTGGAGTACTGGCAAGGTTGTTTTACCGACACATGGAGGAACAATGAGAAACAACATCTTTTACCGAACATGAAGTTGCCGAGGGTAGCACAATCTCCATCTAAACGCAATGCTACCCCAAAACGTGCTATGGCTTAAAAGAGCCCCCACAATAGATGGCCAAATATGGTTAACTATGGTTATGTACACACACAATCACACACACATGTATATATATATAATGACAGTATTGTTGGTCTTCCAGCTGACTGCGTAAACAAGATGAAGGTTGGCCATGGGTTGTCTACGTTCATGCACGGTTTCCTGCCACCCCACCGCTGGACGAAGGGAAACGCTGACAGGACATCGCCATTTCCCTAGGACCTACATAGGAGCAAAAACCTTTAAAATGATCTGCAAAAAAATAGAAATCATATCAAGCATATTCAGAGATTTGGTTTTCTACATATGTTTCTTCCCGACACCAACCCATTATCAGCCGCCTGCCAGGAAGTTTGATGCAACTGAGCCAAGAGCAAGTCCTTGCGTTGTATGTTGCTTGAAATTCTTGTTGGAGTTGGTTCATGGGCCCTAGAATTTGTAGGGTTTCCCATGTTTTTCCTTTGTTGTTGGAGAAGAAAGTGGTGCGTTTTTGTTTTCCTTCTGTGTTAGTCCATCAATAATGTTTAAATCATCATAAATCCACCTTACGTTGCCGACCATTTGGCCCCTTAATTGGCGAATTGGTTTTGAGGACCATTTCAAATCAAGGCCCCTACGGATGGTAACCTGGAATGTTTAATGTGTTCAACAATCATAAGTTGATTATATATGGTTATATACTATAATTCATGGTAATAGCAACTATCCTTTTAGTTGATGGTACTGTAGTAATTATAATTTCTAATTGTTATATTGGTGAAATCACCCACTCCGCTTAGCACCTTGGGCACCTTGGTGCACGTTGAGGAAGGCTTCGCTGCCTGTGATATTTGGGTGGTATGGTCTCTGAAGAAGGACTGGGATCTTGGCCGGACCAAAGATGTGGGAAAGAAATCAATCGCCATGAAAAGAACATGGTTTAGTTGTGGTGAACACTCATATTATAGCTATTATAGCTGAATATAGCTGAATGTAAAATGAAATGATATGTTTTGACTCCGAAATGCTATGGAGAGAGAATGGATATCAATGGTATGTATGCATGGTGATATTTGCAATTTACGTGGCTTTCCCCTTGCTTCTTAGCAGAGAGAGATGAACATTGCGAAGCGCGGAACCGCCAATCGGTTCACAGCTGCAGGATAAGCAACAGCTGCTTCCAGAGGATTTGCCTGAGCATTTCTATGTCACTTGGCTCGGAGAAGAGAGGCAATTCTCAGCAATTCTCCAAGAAAAATGGGCTATACTTCGCATGAATACGCAGTGTATATAAAATATATAACCAATCAATACATATAAAATTACTCGATACTGGTAATGATGTTGATGATGTTCCATTCCACTTGGGATGGTTATTTGAATCGTGACTCGCGCTTGTCAGCCAGGGGTAAACATATCACCAGCTGGGGCAACAAAAAGAAACACAGGGTGGGTAGGTCTTATCTTAGGCGATGAGGAGTTTGTTGGGGACCCATGGGTTGCTTTAGCATCAGAGAACGGTTTGTTGCTGGATTTCGGTTGCTTTTATTGTGACAACTGTATCCCCAGCACAGGCGACTATTGGATACTATACTATTGATACTGTTATTGGATACTATACTATTGATACTGTTATTGGATACTATACTATTGATACTGTTATTGGATACTATACTATTGATACTGTTATTGGATACTATACTACTGATACTGTTATTGGATACTATACTATTGATATCTATTGATACTATACTATATGGATTTTCCAGAAGTCGACCATAAGTCGCATCATGAAGCCACAATTCAGAAGCAACGTTGGAGGTGAACGCCTGGATCCCGCAGCCTGAGCTCATACAGCGCCCAGCAGCTGGGAAAAACGATGACTGGGGGCCTGGGGGTACCTCCTAACATTAGGAAACCTCCATGGCAATGGGTTAGTCTGAAAATAGGGAGAGTTCCAAAGTTCCAATGGTTTTTAGAACCTCATGTGGGATAGTATGATAACCCCGGGCATTTCATTTTAGCCTGGCTTGCACCTTAACACTGCCAATGCATTGCCGGCCCAGAAAGCGACAAGCGTTAAAAAAAACGATAGCGAGCTTATACATGTACATGTTCATGAAGCCTGAAGATGGCAACCTGCACAGGCCTCCAAAACGATAGCTAAGCGATAACAAAAACGATAACGACATATGAAAAAAACGTGAGCGGTTGGGCGGATACCCACCTGACCCGTTCAAGATGGTTTTAGCATATCAGCTTTCGAAGACCTGTATCTTTGATACATAGCGACGGAATGAAAGGACATGAAAGCAAAATGAAAGGAAATGAATGCAACATGGAAGAAGAGGAAATGAATGCAAAATGAAAAGCGATCAAAGAAAATGAAGACAACAGACGACATCCGTTGACTCTCGACCAAGGATGCTTTCACACCCACAGAAAGCTCGAACATTCACACTTCTTGTCTACAGGGAGCTCACCACCTGAGAAAACGATAAGAGTAAAAAAAAAACGATAACGTTATTTTGGGTAATTTAAAAAAAACATGGGGTTTTGATACAACCCCATTTTCCCTATAGTAAACCATCCCCAAATGTACCATCAATGGGTGGTATAGACCATCAAAATAGGGATGACGTATTATTGATTTACTAACGTTATAGACATATCATTTTTTTTTAAATATATGTATGCTGTAACCCCTTTTAAATATAGAACCGTGATAAAAAAAATAGAACCGTGATTTATCCCTGCAGATCTGTTGCAATTGGGCAATTGATATTTCCATCCTTGTGTGGGCTAATATGTATGTAATATATATATATATATAAATATATCTCGTATGTATGCCGTACTATTCTCCTTCTGCCTTTGTATGCATTTGCATTTGCAAGACACCCTTCCACTTTAATCTTTAAGATGAACTTACCATAATGAGATGCCAGCATGTTGAGAGGTTTAGACTTCACCACTGCAGGGGAGCTAGGGATATGATGAAGAAAGCATTACCTCTCTGGTAAGTTAGCAGTTTCCGATGGAAAATCATGTTTTTCATGTAAATCATAACTCGTTTGAAAATAGACAATTTTCTGTAGCTATGTCAAATAACCAGAGGATAATCATCCCAATCAACCGAAGTGCCTGAACATATTGGTCAGACTCAGTACAACACACCCCAAAATGGAGACCTACCCACCTTGCAACTAGTGCTTTGGCACCCAATTCTTACACATCAAACCAACGCACGGCAATGCTGGCTGAAATGAGCCGTACTCAAGATACAAGATGTAGGTTCCCCTATTGTGCACCCTTTCAGGTGCATTGAAGAAAACCCTTTTCTTCACTAAGGAATTGTTGTGTGTTCTGACGCACTGTGGCTGGGGTGGCGCATTGGAATGCATGTTGGCAGGCAAAGCGGTGATTTGTGGCTTGGCTAATCAGCTGCTATAGCCGTTGGTTTCATTTTGATGCCCTTGGGATGGTGATCACCCCGTTGTTTCCTGCTTACTGTCAATGCTGAATAACCCCTGGTTGATTGGGGCTAACCAGCCCCCCAAAAATCGTGATTTCATTGCTACAATGGTACCCCCCAGGGGTAAAGAAAAGTCCTCCTTTGTAAGTGGCTCAACTTCTTCAGGCTATGCAGGCTTCGGAGATCAGACTGAAAATGCCACACTGATGAATGCCCGTGGCTGCGGACCAATCGTGTCTCTCGCTTTTGTTGGAAGTTTCTAGCATGGGTTTCCAGCTGGAAATAAAGGGCCTACCCCGGAAAAAGAACATTGTTTTTTAATAGGGACGACTTAGTCATGATAAACCGATTGTTTCGGCCGAGTTTGTTTGATTATGTTTGACTGTACCCCATGGCGCCCTTAATTCCATTTTATTCTCAGACAAGCGCAGCTCCGATGTAGACAGGTGGACTATAACTGTTTGTGACTTCCCAGGCATAACTGGGAAAGAAGAAGGCGGTAAGACATAAATGTTTAAACTAGGGAGGACATTTGCATCACTGCATATTACATTTATGTACATTTATATATACATTGTATAGTATGCACATATGCTTACATCACTATCACTATTCACCTACGAAGCGCATTTGTTTCGGGAGGAGCAGCGTTTAGAGACTTAAGACATCGTGGTCCGTGGCCCCTGAGGCAACCGAAGTAACCCTAACTCGCCATCGGTGGCGAGTTCCCATGGTGAATTGAGATATGGCTGTCCCATCCTGTAAACTACCCTCTGGTAAACTAACATAGCTATTGAAAATGGCCATTTATAGTGGATTTTCCCATTAAACATGGTGAATTTCCATAGTTATGTTAATTTACCAGAGGGTAACATATCTAACATTCATTGGATTGGTTTAAGGGAAATTTTACAGGAAAACCCCTATATTAAGTGGCAGAAAACAATGGTGTTTCCTGTAGATTTTCCCTTAAACCAATCCATTGAAACGTGGTTTCCATGGATGAGCATGGACCATTTGCCTAATCATTCATAGATGATTGACCCATTCAAATAGTGATTGTTCTAGGTGAGTTTACATCCGATATGCTGGGATTCTGCTGGCTGTACCCCAGGTACCTGTTTGTGAGGAAACTACCCATCTCCATGGCTTTCGATACACCCATCACCAAAAAATGCCAGTAAACCGCAATTTTGAGTTGATGTTTGCTGATGAATTCTTCGATCTGAAAATCTAGATGAAACATATATGTGCTTGTATTATGTTGTATTCACTTTTTATTCAATGATATTCCGTAATAAGCCATTATCATTATCATTATAGACCATTTACAGCCATATATATATTTATATATAACCCATTATAAAACATTATAAAACCTTTATATCAATGTACAATCATATCGAACCACTAGTGTGATAAGTGGTGGATGGGTTAACATCCACCTGTACCGAGGTCGGAGCCACCCAGAAGTAGCGCCAAGGACATCCAAGCAGCGGTGGAGGATGTGCTGGAGAATCGGGAAAGACGCTCGTTGATCTTGTTGGAAATGGAAAACTATGGAAAATTCATGAAAAGGTCACTCTAAGGTATCCAAAACAAGAATCATAGTGGAAAATCCTACTTGGGGTTACTGAATGCAACCTAAATCTCTCTAGATTCTTGTGGTTATACGACCCCCCACCAGGGTGGACCTCAGCTCAGCTTTAGGGGGTGAATCTGATGGACCCTATAGTTGCTAGTGAAATCCCATGAACATCTAGCATGTTATAATATTAATACGTAATGGGTGTTAATAATTAATATCATCTATTTAAATGATTGATTACCCATTACAATCATTTCTGATATGTAAACAACATTAAACAACTATGTGTGACAAGCCGAATAAGTCATTCTTATTTGGGGGTGAGACAGGCTGGAGTCCAATGACTGAAGCTCATTGGTAGACTGGTGATGGAGTTCTCTTCCTGCAATCTCCCAAAACATTTTACCCCCAGCAACTGAGATCAACTGATCATATGCTTCAGATTTTTTTCATCAGATCAAGCTGGGGAGGTGTGATGCCGTGATGCCCACCATGTTGGAACATTGCTGGGTCTATGCCCAGTTGCACCAGGCTATTCTGCGAACGCCCAGAAAGTGTCTCAAGACCTCCGCGCGTCGCCAGGGCCCATCGCGGTGGCCGAACGCATTGAAGACGTCGCGACTTGGACGTTGGGTCTGTGCACATGGGGGCATTCAACTGGGATGGTTTTCTCAGCACCAAGACATACCAAGAAAATCCAAGAAACATCAAGCGTTCGGAGGTTATGGTTCACGAAGTTCACAAATAGTATAATGCTGGTTGGTGGTTTGGAACATGTTTTATTTTTCCATTCAGTTGAGAATGTCATCATCCCAACTGACGAACTCCATCATTTTTCAGAGGGGTAGGTTGAAACCACCAATCAGATATATATATATATATATCCATACTATAAGGGTTTCCATTATGGGATGGATGTGATAATGACATAGCCACATAGCACCATCAACCATTGTTGGGTAATATTATCAATATTGAACCAGATAAATCCTCCATAAATCCTCCATAGATCCTCCATAAATCTTCCATAAATCCTCCATAAATCCTCCATAAATCTTCCATAAATCATCCATGGGTGCATGAACATGGGGGCATTCAACTGGGATGGTTTTCTCAGCACCAAGACATACCAAGAAAATCCAAGAAACATCAAGCATTCGGAGGTTATGGTTCACGAAGTTCACAAATAGTATAATACTGGTTGGTGGTTTGGAACATTTTTTATTTTTCCATTCAGTTGGGAATGTCATCATCCCAACTGACGAACTCCATCATTTTTCAGAGGGGTAGGTTGAAATCACCAACCATACATATATATATATATATAGATATGTATGTATGTATATATATATATACATATCCATATTATAAGGGTTTCCATTGTGGGATGGATGTGATAATGACATAGCACCATCAACCATTGTTGGGTAAAATTACCAATATTAAACCAGATAAATCCTCCATAAATCCTCCATAAATCCTCCATAAATTGGGGTGTTGGTCGGCTTTCGCCTGAGGTGAAGAATGGCATGGGTGACATGGTGCCCCAGCCGTACCACCTCCATGGACCGGAAGGCTGTCAGATCCAGTGAGGCACCAGTGACCCAGTGATGAGGCTCAGATGAGGCCCAGTGATATCATAAATATTATATATATACACCATATAATTATATAATGATATCATATCATAGATTATTTATTTGCAACATTTTATGCGATATTTTTAGCATTGTATGCATAATGAATGTATGTTTGAGTGGTTGCGTGTGTTGTTTGATAGCTGGGTACAATTGCCCTTGATATTCCACCCGGTCACCCAACTTATTAATTCGACATCCACCCTGTTTATGCAGTATGGAAGCCCATAGGTTATGCCAAACAAAACTGTAGAGATCCCAAGGTGTACAGCAGAGGGGTTTTATCGCGTTGATTCTGCCAGACCCAGGCTCCCAAAGTACCCATGAATAAAATTGTTGTTCACAGCAGCCCAAGCATTTGGAGACATGCTTGCGTTTGAAGGGTACATGGAGTGTCTGGCTATTGGGACAGCACAGTTGTACAACAAATGTCCTATTCTTTTGAAGCTTGTGGCGGTTCGCCGGTTTGCCGGTCGCCCATTTTGCTGTGTCCAGAAGGGCACTTTTTGCTTGTCGTCTCATCAGATCAGGTCCCAACCTTCGCAGATCCGCACGGTAGGCTGTAACCTAGCAACACAATGCAACACATCTATTCTATTCCGTAGATACTCCCATTAACATTCCATTAACAATGTCACTCAGAACGCTACATGAAAGTGAGCTAAGTTTGTGCGGAACATATCAGAGACTTAGCAGCTTCTTTGAGGCTTGTTCTTTTGCCCATAGAGTGCATTTGAAAGGTTCATGACCAGAGAAGGCTGGAGAAAAAGCTGCCGCGGGCGACGCAGCGGCTTGGCAGTTGAGCAAGCTATTTGAACACATGAAGCTGTATAATGATCGTCATTGTGACATTATATATACAGAGTTTTACAATGTTTTATTACATTTTTTTACGGACATATATAGTTATATATATATATACGTACGTTTATGTATTACATATACACAGTTACACACACATTATATATATATATGCACAGTATACTTGCATTTAGCATATCATGTCGCTTGATGGAATTTGGGTGCTCTTCTATCGCCAATGACCCTCCCGCGAGCTTCAGAGTTTGACCTGTCCCAGCCACAAAAACGAGTTAGTCCTAGGGCACCCCCTCTTGCGTCAACTCAACAGAGAAGGCCCCATTGAGGGATTCTTAGCCACCATCAGTGTCACATACCCTCTGTCAAACATGGCTAGAAAATCCTCTAAGGTTTGTAGCTGGGAAAATCATCGCACTAAATGGCGGATTTTCAATTGCCATGTTTGATTACCGGGGGTAAATGCGGCGTTCTGAATCCCAACATTGGTAGCATTGGGGGATGCGCTTTGGTTGCCTTTGGAAGCTGCAGGTGGGCCTAGCCGCGAGGAAAAGTGGTGTTGCTGTGGCCATGGAGGATGCCTGATGTGGCAATGAGGGATGAAGATAATACTGACAATACTAAACATACTAAACCATCCCCGATTTTCAATTATGTATTCCGAATGTTGTATTCATGCAGACTCCACAGACCCCACATCAGAATCCAAGACATTTGGAAAACTGCTAGCGGCTTCAAAAGAGATCACCAGAAATGATGGAACATCTTGAAGACACCATCAAACATTACTTCACCAGTGGGAAGTAAACGGAAGGAAAAAAAGGTACTTCATTTAGCGAGTCGCAAGTGGTTGAGGTGCGAAAGGTTGGTCCAGAAGCTCTTTACTGACTCCGGTGATTGCAGTGTTCTTTGCGTAGGACAACAACTGACAACAACATGTTTTTCATATGTAAGACATGTCATCTATGCGGGATTGGAGGCACACCTTGATTTTTTGACAGTTTCTGTTTGATGGATTTTGTGGAAAAGCGTATGCCACTAAAGTTGAACGGCAAGCAGGTCAACAAATGTATGCCATGGGGCATTTATTTTTTAATAGAACATTATAGAATCATATATTTGTATGTATTGATATATATAATATATATATGATTTACATATATATATATATGATTTACACATATATATATATGATTTACACACATATATATATACACATGTATATACATATACACATATATGTATATATAACATAAACTGACCTAGGAAACCCATGGTTTCCCTGTGAACATTGTCTACAAATACTATCTTTTCCAGCTTACAGGGGGGTAAATGTTTTGGGCGCGCTGAACTGTGTAGGAGAACATCTTGGAACGACGATTTTCATCTCCAATCCCATCCCTACATCCCCATCATGATGTTGTTTTGTTTCAAGATATAAGGGGTCCTGAAAGTTCTTGATGACATTCCCATTGACATTCCTTATCTTTAAATGACATTCCCATTTGGTGGGAATGTCAATTGTCCCATTGACCATATGGTATACCCCATTAATCATATTTTCCCCGATTGACATTCCCATTTGGTGGGAATACCACATTTTCAGACACACCCAGATGACAGAACATGATCCGAGTATCAAAGAACCATCCCCATCTTAGAACCTATCTCAGTAATCAAATACGGGAATTGGTCCATGTGGTTCTATCATGTTTTATTGGTTGGACCGTTGGCCCCCAATTTTGTTCGAAATGCTTGTCCTACTACTCCATTTTTGCTGGGATTGTCCAGCCGTTGGAACCAAAGGGACCACAGAATTCTCAGACATTGACTATATTCGTTAGCAGTGGCAGTAAACCATTCGATTTATGATCCCCCCATCAAATTTGGTTTCTCCCATGTTTTACCTCCAATTTTCTCATATGTCCCCTACATTTTCATATAGGTTCCCTACGTTTTCCCACATGTTCCCATCTTCGGCTTGAAGCTTAAACTCCCGGGTCGCCTCCGTGCGCTTCTCCGGTAGAGCCGCCCGTGGGGTCGGTCATGGCGGAGAAACCAGCAGACTGGGCCAGGGGCTGAAGATACCGCCCGACGTTGTGTCCTTTCTTAATGGGCTACCAGGGCCATTTATGGTGTTTGTTTGTCTGTATTTTGTTTGGCCATCATTAAATGGGCTACAAACTGCAGAACTGGACATATTAATTTAGTATATCAGAAAATACGATCTAGATCCGGCCAGTCTTTTGTGCCGACACCAGGCGGCTGCTGCCTGCCTTGAGAATTTCCGACAGTACCGCGACTTGACCACGCAGGAGGTGGGCTGCCAGGGCTGTGGGATGCACGCCATTGGGATTCTTACCGGGGTGCCATGTCGTCCACGATAATCAACGTTAACAAGTTAAGAATTTATATCCTTCATCTATTTAGGTACATGTTTTTTTGTGGAAACTGTTTACATTTTTTTCATGTCTTTGATGCATGGAGCATTAAATCAAGGAAACTACCGCGCAATGTGTGGTTTGCCAAGTGGATACCCGATGATACCCCCAGCCATGGCTCATCCAGGTCGAACGTGTTCGCAGAAACCTGAATGGCCTGTCAGACGATGACAAGGCATCACTGGTCAGGACGGGAAGGGTTGAAATGAGAGTTTTTTCGGTGCTGTTGAGGGCACTTTTCCAGGGCAGGGCAGTCATCCTTGCAATTGACTGGTGGTTCTTGGAAACAGTCCTTGTTGGCGGGGCGTTTTTTGATGTCAGCGGTTGAGACGTTGGACTGCAGATTGCTCCACCATTTCTCGCGTTTTTGCAGGGTTGTCTTTATGATTTTTTATGATGTCCCAGTTGGACACTGTATCTCGCGGACCAGAGATACAGTCACAGAGTTTCGCCTCTGATTTTTTCAGGAAGCCAGAAGAGCAGTTGAAGGCCATGGAAGAGGTTCGGGTTTGCCTTGGAGATCCTTGGAGTCCCACCGTCCCACCATTGGAAAATGATAGAAAATTAATTGTTCAATGAGTTCAATGATCAGGATTGTGAGCTGTGATTTTCCGATAGCAACCTTTGCATTTGGACTAGGAAGTGCAGAATTCAGATTGTTTATTTTTTTTTTACTGTATGTCACTGTATGTCCTTTCAGTTCTTTTAGATGCGGCCTTTTAGATATTTGGAATGCCCATGAGGCGTGCAATCTCGCAGCGTTGGCTCAGAAATGACATTTGGAGTAACCTTTGGTCAGTGGCCATTTCAGGAACCTAAATTGGAGGTACCTACCATATATAAGGCCTATATAAAGCCTATGTAAGGGAATATCCCCACAAAATATGGCCTTATATGGTACAGTACCTCCATTCTAGGATCCTGGAATTTCCATTGATTTGGCCAACTGCAAGAGATGGCAATGAGTAATATGACCCTTTCAGTGCTAGCTCTTTTGGGTCGAACCTAGCAGTGGAAGATCTCCATAGAGCGGTTCCAAGTTGCGAATCAACTGCAGGGAAACCCTCAGAAAATCTCAGAAAACAATTTATGAGCCCGAGTCAGAGTCATAAAGTTGTTTTCAGACGTGATCTCAAGTTCCGTTGGAGAACTTTGGAGAGTGGAACAGTGGGAACAAAGATATTACACAATTGCCTGGTACTGCGCAGGCGAGTGGAGAACCAAAAGAAAACCCTGGTTCGATTCCAGCAGACTTTCACCCAACAATGGCTCCACCTTCAGACATATCATGGCTTCTTAAACTACATTATTATTTATTTTTTATATTATGTCAGATATATATATATATATATATAGTTTTTTTCAATTCTTTTCAGAGATATCCAAATACACCGCCAAATCCCGCAGCATGTGCTGTTGTCCCCCTACTGCCATGGCAGTGCCATTCCCCAACTTCGGCTCATACGAGTGGCTTTTCGGCCTCAACATGAGGGCCAGACCCACATGCATCAAATATGATGAAAGCCTAATTGACTGCTTCAAAGTACTTCAACATGCATAAAAGATCATAAAAGTTCGTAGGTGTTTAAAAAATGCCATGTGTTTGTTCAGTCGAAGCTCCAGAAATGACTGGGCTGTGATCACAATGACTGGGTTGTTACTCCACCGTTCTCCGGGATGCACTCTCCCATGATTACCACCTCTGTTCAACCGGAATCTAATATCATAGTGACAGTCAACAATGATGAATACATTAAAATGACACACGCACACAGATATATATGCATATATGTGTGTGTAATTATATATATATACAGTACACCACGATCGACAACAGTTAACGCTCAATAGTGGTCGATGGCAATGAATGTCCCATGTGACTAACAGGTTGCTATTAATTGTTAATTGCGCATAGGTTGGCAGACAATTAATAAGAGATAATATCACATACAGTAGGTGGCGAAAGTCGTTCCTGTTGCATACAAATACTTTATTAAGCTGCGGGGACGATTTCCCAAAAGGTGTTCCATGCGGAAAAACAGGTCCATGCAGAAAGAATGCTTTTGAAATCACCAGGCATACCTTTCGCCTTTCACTGTGATCTACAGCCCCAAGACAATCGGATGACGCAACGGGTCCAGGTTGCTTCCCTTTGCCGATGTGAAGCATGTCTTCCAAGACCTGCCATTGCGGTCACTGGGCTCATGGGTCCACAGGCCAAGGCGGCGATTTGACTTTTTTTGGGGAGCGATTCAAACCATAAAGTCAAGAGAGAGAAAACTTGGCTGAGTACTGAGTACTGCCCCGCACCGCCACAAAATAGAATACACGCAGCAACAACAACAACAACAACAACAACAACAAAAACACAACAACAACCACAACCACAACAACAACAACAACAAAAACAATAAAAAACAACAAAAACTACAAAAACACGATGAAATCAAGGAAAGGTGTGGTCGATGTCCATTGCTGGCTCTTAGCTACATCATAACAACTTCATGGCGACATCACAGGGTACTATTAGCAAGGGTCAAGGTTCCCTAGATTCACCAAGAATATCGCCTCCTTCGTTCAGGACTGAGGGCACAGTCCTTACCGTGGTCGTGGGCTGCGGGACGTGCCCAGCTCAGAAAAAACAGTTTCGACGGCATGTTGGGCTGACAACAAGTTTTGAACACTCCACTGAGCTCTTTTCTTTGGTTCTTGCCAGCTTGCTTGTTCAAACATGGGTCGTCGTCTCAGTGACATGAATCTTGCCAGTCCATGATAGACCCATGATAGAAAGCCGCAGCGAGTGTGTAAACACGTGGGAAACTATCTTTTTTGGGGCATACTCTCCGACCCCAGAGATCTCCAGTAATTAAACATTCATGTGGAATATGGAAAACCATGGAAAACCATGGAAAACCTACATTTTCATATGAAAACCATGGAAAACCATGGAAACATGTGGATTTTCATAGCTTGGCTTGAGGGCACCACCCAGGGTTCTGAATCTTAGAACACAATCGCCAGCGCTGTAGCCAGAGGTCCGACCTTTCACGTGAACTGCATACCCATCTTGGGCTCCCACAGGCGTGTCAGAGTTTGATAGTAGCATATGGTCACAGGAGGGATTGTGTTAAGTTTGGAAAGGTTGTTTTAAACCCTATTACATCTATTGTATGCTTCATGATCTTCATGTTGCTTTGAGATGTTGACTTAGGAGTCACAGTTTCACTCCCGGGTTTCCATGTATCCATGTGGGATAAAATAAGCCATGTTTTGTGGGTACCCAAATTGCATCCATTCCCTGCACATGAATTTGAAGTCGTGTTAGGCCATCGGTTCCCCCGAGCCATGAGAGAACCTGCACCACGAAGCGTGCAGGTGGTGTCCATTGACAACGATGAAGAAGTGGTTTCTCACATGAAGGCAGTTCGATCGCGGAAAGGTGAGGTGTTGGTTGATGAAAACAACCTACGCTATTGTTGAAGATGCAGAGTTCAATGCTGTAAAATTGTTTGTGGATGTTTGTAGTATCATTTGATGATGCGGATATGCTGGGGAGATCGGTGGTACATGTCATAAGCAACAACAATTGCTTGGTTTTACCCCCTTTCTTCAAAGCCTCAAAGTCATTGTATCTCAGTATAGCCCGATAGAGGCCATCACCCAGTGCCCCGCAGGCGCAGCACGAGGATTTGAAAGCCGCTTTGAGTTTTCACCAAGCAGACCTGACTGCACCCTGTAGCCACGTTGCGTGACGGATCTGTTGTGGGGGCCCGGTGGACTTTTGTGGGTGTTTCATTACTAGAAAACGGCATCACAAGGGAACGGCGGTGCATGTTGAAAGGAGGATGTTGCTATTTTATACTGTTTGACACAGTTTTACAATGCTGTGTGTGATGGCGTGGTGGCATACTTAGCATCATGTTGGATGCTTCAAAAAATCAATCAGTACGCTGAAGTTCCCAGGCCCGAGCTCAGACTCCTTGACCCAGGTTGTGGCGGATGGTGCGGCGGATTTGGTGGTGGACAAGAGCACTTTAGATTGTTGCATGGCAGCCAGATGGCTCTGCTTGAAAAGCTATATATAATGTGGGTAAAACAATAATAAACCATCCCCCCAAATCATCATAAATAGTTGGTATAAGCCATTCTCAAATGGGTGTATATATGATATATATATATATATATATGAAACTCCGTTTCCAGTGAACAAAGCGTCTATAAAATCTAGCGTGAGAATGGCCAGGGAATTCTCACAGCGCCCACTTCCCAGCCCACTTTCTGAGGCTTGCTTTGCAGCGAGGGGGCGCCGAAACTGGTGCCTTCAGCATGGGTGTGGGTACCTTGTTTGGGTGCTACTTTGAGGCACATGTTTGCTCTCATGGTTTGGATCATGATGATGATGATGATGATGATGAGGATGATGAGGATGATATAATCACGCAACAATGTTTGTTTCATGTGTTCATCCATTAAGATTACCTGTCCATCAAATATATTTTTCACTTTTGGATATGTTCGACCATATGAATCTTGCATTGCATTTGGAAATTGCACCGCTCTGGTCCTACAGATGCTATGGTCTTCAAATGGATAGGACTTGATTTTAACATTCCATAACAATCCATAACATTCCAACGTCCAAATTGATGAACCCCGACCCCGACCATTTAGGTTTAGGAGGCAAGTGAACCCAAACAATGGTCGCTCTTGGCTCAAGACACCGTTCCTACGCCAAGTCACGAATTTGCGAGCGCCAGTCATTGTGACGCCATGGAGATCAAGTTGGTCCTATGTTCAAATTTGTGTGCTGTAAAGCCGTGTGGAAACTGTGGAAGGGAGTTACTTTTTTCATCTTTTTGCGCCTTTTTGTATCTTTTGGCCGCAGGCCTTTTGGTGTGCACATACACTCGAAGAAGAGAAACGCAGAAGCGAGGAACAAGTCAACGAGCTGAAGGCTATGGTTTTGAGGGTTGCAGCAGAAACGTGTTGGACGTTGATTTGCTCTCCAGTGACCATGGGAATCTTTGATCAACGAAGCCGGAAGCCGCTGAAGCCGGGGATTTGCCCGATGACGAGGATGTCTTCCACTGCAAAACAGCCCAGGCAAACTGCTGCTGTCTTGAGGAGATGATGCTGAGCTTCATGAACATCGTCTCAATGAACAGCTTCAGATCATTATTTTTTGATATTTTATGGCATTCTACCGCGCACAAAAAAAAGACCATGTGTCAGATTGCTTCACCCCGGACTGTGCTAGGCAGTTTGGTGGGATGTTGCACTAAAGATGGATATATATATATATATATTCTTCTAGGCGGTTCCGCTGGTGTTGTGGACTACTGGAATGCCCAATGCTAGCCGGCTGCGGCGGATTTTTTTCCAATTCTGGAATGCTTTCACCATCATTCCGCCCGCCACTGCGCAACCTAGCGCCGCCAGATTGTGGCGGGTGCTAAACTGTTGAGTGGAGCATGGAACGAGGGTGAAAGCATTCCACGTTAGGGAAAAGAGTCTTGTATACTTCCACAATCCAACCAAGCATGCACAAACATTTTAATTTTACAAGTCTGAATGGTGCTCCCTTGTGCTCCCGGTAGGTTGCACACCTTCAATCACGTGCGCCCTTGAATCTCTGTCAACACATTAATTTCAACAGCGGTAGTTTTTGTTCAAAAATGCATACACACACACACATATATATATATATATATATATATGTATGCATTTAGAGAGCGGCTTACCGTGGGGCTGTATATTATGTATGTACATATTATCCAGTATTTATATGTATTTATATATCTACATGGAATTATAGTATACCTAGCATGCGTAGGTTGATTTGGATCTCTGCTGGAATTTGATCCCAGTTGTTTCGCTGTGGCGGCCACCCCAGGTGCACAACATCTACCGGATGCTGCGTGTTGGTGGTTGCTATGTTGTCATCTCGTTCCATCAGAAGGCCCATCCTACGGAAATCTTCAACGCAGCCTCTGGTAACTTACAGTAACGGCTGCGAGGGAACATCAATATTTAAAAAAAAACATCATCGCTATATCATCTATCCACGGGCCATGTCCCAGCAAACAGTGATTGATTAAAATTGTCCCATAGCAGCATCAAGTACTACTTAGGCTGCAGGTCAGGTATTGATACCATGCGCCAGAATGATGCCATCTAAGCACCCTACCCCTACTCTGTTTTCATCAAACATGGTTGGCACGAAGGTCTCAATGTGTTTGGATATCATCAAAGGTCATCCAGAATGTATGAACAGTAAGATACAACTAAAGCCAGGTTAAGAGTATACAGATCATACAGTATACTGTACTTATTCAACGTGACCCACAATAATCAATCATAAATACATGTCCTTTGTCCTGATTTTTCCATAGAAACGTGTCACAACATCCATATCTCAGGGTTTGGGGAGTTCACACCCAGTGGGCGACCCAGTGGGGTACCTACTCTCCTGGCAGGAGTTCCTGATGTCCTTGTTGTCCTTGGCCTTCAGCATCGAGTCCGCGATCGACTTACAACGAGACGTCGGCGCGGACCTTTTTTTCGGGGGTTTTTGGGGCACAAATTTGGCACCGGTTGTTGCGGGATAAATGGTGGGTTTAAAGGATGTTAAAGGTCCCTGATGGTAAGGGAAATCACATGGAATCCCCGAATGGCAATGTGATAAGAACTATGTTCAGTGAATTAGTGTTACTCAGCCAGATGTATGGCAACTCTTCACTTAGGGATGCTTCAGGGAGAGATTCCTGATGCTGAATTTGCTGATGATAGTCGTTTGCTATTTTCTTCACTTTGGCCTCGGGTCGTTTGTATGGAAAGTTGATGATTGAGTGAGCGGCTCATGATTCTATCTGTTGACTTGGGGGAATTGATGAACTGTATGGATATGACATCAGGTGATAGTAGCCCCTGAGCCCCAAGTGCACAAGCGTTTGCAGGGCCTGATGTGCTGGCTTTGGTCTTGAGAAAGGTGCCTGCGCTCTTTGGTGGCTGTGGTGTGTACATGTTGGGGGGGTCTCAGGGGTTGGAAGAGTGATAAATGGGCGGCTACTGACTAGTTGAAGAAGAATGAGAAGACAACCATTGTTTTATGTGTGCTTTTTGTGAGGGAAGGGTGTTTGCCATGACAACATCGGCAAGTCTGCCAACAATCACAGCAATTGCCCAAGATTCTGCCCTAGAAATTGCAGCCTGGAGATTCACCTATCGTATGTCCGGCCATCGTTCCACCTATCGTCCCTGGAGGATTCCCAGTCCACCAGTCTCCTTTTGCTGTGCAGCGGCCCAATAGGTTGATGATGAAAGGTCGTGGCAATCGAAATTCCCCACTTCAATGCAATTCATGTAAATTGAGATAGATTTTATCGTCAACCTGTAATCATGTATCAAATTGATTCAAACTAAATTGTTGGTTTTTGTTGATTTTTGATGTTTCTCATCTCATGTGTTTCTTTTTCCATTGCCATCAGATCACTCAGAGCTCCTCCCTGGAGCTTCCAGCGTTTCGTATGTTTCGCCAGGGCACCGAAGAGCTGCCGGAGCTGCAGAAAGCGCTGGACGCGTGGAACGTGCAGATGCCCAAGGACCTGATGTCGGAGACGCGGAGAGAAGCGCTGGAGGCGCCACAGGACCTGTTTGTTTCCACCGGGTAATGGGGTGATGGTGGTGATATGTGGTGGTTGTTCAATGATTGTCAGTGCTTGGAGTTTGATGAACATAGTTTGATCATCTGGTTGGTGGTTTGGACCATTTTTTATTTTCCATATATTGGGAATAATCATCCTAAGTGACTAATTAATATTTTTCAGAGAGTCGAAACCACCAACCAGCCATAGTTTGATAATGTTTGATCTTTTGATATTTTGGTTTGGAAATGTTTGGAGTTAGCTTATATACAAATATATTATGGCCCCCTACTGGCTGCATCTGAAGTTAGTTGAATGGTCATAGAATGAGTTTGTGCATGTTTATGCCATGTTCATCTCCCACTTTTGCTGATTGACGGCTGGGGAGGAAGGTGAATTGAACCCTATAAACATCATGAAACCATATAAAACCACATTAAATCACATTAAAGTCAATTACATACATCATAATCCCTCTCAACCCCATTGAAACCTATTATAAAATCCCATATTTTTTTACCAGGCCGACTGGCTCCAACGTTTACGACCCGGCGCAAGTGCCTTGCCACTCAGCGAGGCGGGGGACATGGCTGCGGTATGCTGCGGTGTTGGACATGGGATTAAGATATGTTTAAAACGGGGCATTTACCCTCTGGTTATTTAACATAGCCATGGAAAATCACAATTTTTAATAGGTAAACCATCTATAAATGGGCCATTTTAGATGGGTTTGGTATGGTTTACCCTCTGGTAAATTAACATAGACCCTGAAAATGACCCATTTATAGTGGAAACTCATCTTCCAAACCCTATCTGCCAGGGTCTATGTTAATTTACCAAAGGGTAACATCATTTGACTTAACCTGCGAGAATTACAATTTAAGATGTCCTATATGAATGGTGGTGCCCATGGTGCCCCACTTTGGAATCGCTAGGTGGGTTGAAATAATATATTGAAATAAGTATATATATATATATAATAGGTTAATAATTGGGTCTCGGGAGTTTCAGGTATGGATGGTAGTTATATCTATAGATAACTGTCGAATTGTAAAGCAACAAACATATCTACAGGGGTTGAAATAACTCCTACCTAGAGTTTATGGTAGATACATTTGTAGGATGGGTTTATAAACCAGCTGTCATAACTGGGGGGACCACCTTGTGAAGCTTATAGCCACAGAACAGGATGATGGGAAATTGTGCCGGAGAAACCAAATTTGATGGTAACATAAATATTTGGGAATTAAATATTGATAGACGGTAAAATGATGTAAAATGTAGAGGTTCCTAGATTTTCTCTCAAGAAAATACCAATGTCCCAATGCAATGAGGAACTGCCATTGCTGATCAATTACGGGATTCGCCCTGACGACCTCAAGCCAAATTCATCAGCTGTGAGGCGAAGAGAACGTATGATGCAGCCATCCTTTTGTATTGCTTGTTTGTTGTGGCGCATTTTAAATATTTACATACCAAAAAAGTACATATACTTCTAGCGTACGTATATATTTATATATTTATATATATATATACACATTACACCAGGCCTATGAGGTGATGATCAGCAGCTCGGCAACTTGGATGTGCGAAGGCCAAGGCAATGGCTTTGCAAAGTGAATTGGCCATTTGAACTGGGAGTTATCATTGGAAAAACACCGCAACTAGTAGGATTTTGGGAGCAGATGCGGGTGCGTCGACCATCAAAATTTGAAAGGATTTTGCCATCAAGTGTGTGGAGTTGATCTATACAATTGGATTAAATGATTTGTCTCAAGATTGTGAACACCTCTCTATATGGATTAGATGCAAATTCTATTATGGAAATGATGGATACCATGTCTTTTTTTCCGGGGTCCAAGTTGGAACAAACCATCCGGACGAACATGTCAGACAACCCAGAACTTTGGAGGTAGACCATGGTAGACCCCCAAGAGGCCCAGAAAAGACACGACGAAAGGGCTATGTTTTGGGCGTGCAGAACGGGCGAGAACCTGATCTCCATGTGTTTTTAAGTGTCCTCTTTATATGGAGGAATTGGTGAGACATCTCAAGGTTGCAATAGCCGCCATCCCAGTCAATCTTTGTCTATCAAATAATTTGTATATAAATCAGAGAGAAAGAGAGAAAGAGGGAAAGAGAGAGAGAGAGAGGGGGGGTGATTGCGAGAGAGATGGTTCAAAACTATTTATTAAATACATATTTTGCTCATTGTAGTATGTCTGGGGCTAAAGATGCCTGTTTGATTAGATCTCTTCTTTGATCATCATGGACATCATGTGACATCACGGTCATCCGATCATCTAAGCTCCAAGGAGAAGCGTGAGTATTCCTTGTCGGATTTCGAACAGGAACCTGGGTGAAGAAAAGTAAGGCCATGGCCTCCGGTAGCGAAACATGGTTTGGAAAATCCCAGCATTGTTGATGTGTTCTCAGCGAACTAAAGTAACTAAACCTCCATTTAGTTCGTGATTTCCCAGCGGCCCGCCATGTTTGATTGCTGGTATCCATTTCTCTGTAGCATCCTGGTGCTTTGGATGTGTCCCAGGACACACAACTGTCCCCACCATCGACACCCCCAGGATGTAGCAGATCATGGTGGAACCGCTGGAACCACTGAATTGACCCTGCAGGAAGCATTGCACTTCTTGGAGCAAATGCAGTGAAAAATGTTGGCCCTGGGATCCCTGGGATTTGATTATCGCTGCTGGAAATCTATTGGGCAGCCGTTCGTTTTAAGGGTGGAACTGGGGCCTCCGGGACAGCGAGAGAGAGAGAGAGAGGAATTAAGTAAAACATTCACAATCGGTGTAAAATTGCTATAGTTGTGCATAATATTGTCTAATGAATCCTAACGGTATGACCGGCGTACAAAAACTATTTAAGTCAGCCTCATGGCCCATTTAGATGAGATGCTTCGAAGTTTGTTCCTAACTAAGTGATGGGAACTGATATTTGACTTCACGAGCTGCAATTTAAAGAGGGCTGATATTTGTCAAAATATATAGATTGATGTTTGAAACTATTCATAGAATGTATGTGTATATTCATTTTATTTTTTAAATTTTCTATACTGTATATGATATGCATGTATGTATACTGTTTCAGTATATCCTGCCACATTTCTGCCTATCCCTGGCAAGATATTTTTACCATGTTGGTCCAGCTTTGTTGTTCCGCAGGCCGTGGCCGCAACCTTGAGCATGATTGAGAAGCTGGAGGAGGTGGTGAAGAAGGACGTTCCCAACAAAAATCCGGTATGATTCATTTAAGATTGGTGATTCGTGTGTTTTTCTGAGAGCGGTGGCTTCTTGAAGTGCCAATGGCCAATTCCCGACATTTATTCATCACCCATTTCAGGGATCATCGCCCAAAAAATGAAGTGACTGAGGTAGACCAGGCACTTTCCACTTAAGAACAAGTGAACCATTGAAACAAGGAGTATGATCATGATCTGTAAGATGATTATATGCATGTGATGATATGTCGTTTACACACGTGTTTGCATCTGTTTTTTGAAGATAGCTTGAATTGCTACTAGTTGGGTATATACATGTATCGAAGGAAGTTTAGAAGTCAAACTTCCGACAATATGGACAGATGGGAAAGCAAAGTCAGAGAAGAGAAGAGCAGAAGATAGAAGAGTAGAAGAGAAAGAGTAAGAAGAAAGAAGATGGAGATGCGCGAAAAGGTAGGAAAGTCGCGATTTACTGTGTTTTTTCCAATGATTTGTGGCTCCGGAGGGTCGAAAGGTAGGCTCGCTAAAGCGGCGGGTGGGGAGCCATGTGGGCAGATGAGAGATGAAAAATTGCACGCTGTTGTGGCGCGAAGCACATTTCGAAGTCAAAACGTACAAAACACGCCAACGTCGGAGCACTTTTGGAAGTTGCGATGTCGAAAAATTGCGAGCCGGTGTGGCGCGAAGCACATTTCCAAGTCAAAATTCAAAATACACCATGTTCAGAGCACTTTTGGAAGTTGAGATGTCGAAAAATTGCACGCCGTTGTGGCACGAAGCACATTTCCAAGTCAAAATTCAAAATACACCATGTTTGGAGCACTTTTGGAAGTTGAGATGTCGAAAAAGTGCACGTCGTTGTGGCGTGAAGCACGTGTCGAGGTAAAAATGTACAAAGCACACCAACGTCGGAGCACTTTTGGGAGATGACATGGTCAAAAAGTGCACGCCGTTGTGGCGCAAAGCACGTCAAAAAACTGGCGGGTACGGAGCTCTTTTGGACGTTCAGATGTCGTTACGCGTGGCCAGCGCAAGGGATTGTGCACATTGTCAAAAGCGAGCAAAACGTGAGGGTTTTCTAGCATGTCCAACAACGATGGCAGGCGTGGGACTTTTGAAGAGGATCTGGAAAGATGCATTTTCCATGGCAGGCGCAGTATGTTCATCAGAGATGTTAGGAGGTCCGGGCGGGGATTTCCTGAGAGGGGTTGCATTTTGGAGCATCAGATTTTCAGTTTTGAGAGGATGATTTTGTGGGACAGGTGCAGCACTTTTTCGTGGTAGGCGCAATACTTCAGAGACATGGACTGGAAAAAACGCAAAACGCATTGGTACGAGGCCGTCAGCTCTGCACAACTTTCCATTATTGAAGGAAGTCTCGCAGAATTGCTTTGTTTTTGATGTTGTCAACTTGAATAATTGAATTGCCTTGTTTTTTTGATGATGCCAACTTCAAAAACTGTGGAAGTCTCGCAGAATAGTTTTGTTTTTTGTTTAAGTTCAAACTTGCAGAAAGTGAAAGATAGAAAGATAGATAGGTAGGTAGATAGATAGATAGAGAGATAGAGAGATAGAGAGATAGAGAGATAGAGAGAGAGAGAGATAGAGAGATAGAGAGATAGATTGATAGATTGATAAACTGATAGACTAATAGATAGATAGATAGATAGATGGATGGATGGATAGATAGATAGATAGATAGGTAGGTAGGTAGGTAGATAGATAGATAGATGGATAGATAGATAGATAGATAGGATTAGTTAGATAGAAAGATAGATAGATAGATAGATAGCTAGATAGGTTTTTTTTAGATAGATAGATAGATAGATAGATAGACAGACAGATAGATAGATAGAAAGATAGATAGATAAATAGATAGACAACTACAACTGCAACTACAACTACAACCACACTACGCTACCACTACAACAAAAACAAATATACTACGCTACAGTTCACTAATTACATTTCACTACGCTAATTACAGCACACTACATTAATTGCACTACAACTATAGCTGCAACTACAGCTACTGTTACTACAGCTACAGCTACAACTACAACTACATGACACTACAATACACTAATCTCATTACACCACACTACACTAGACTACAACTACAATTACAACTACAACTGCAACTACAACTACATCTACACTACACTATATTACACACCGTTACGCTACACTAATTACACCACACTACAACTACAACTACAGCTACAACTACAACTACAACTACAACAACTACAACTACAACTACACTACATTACACTACACTGATTGCACTACGCTACACTACGCTACACTACAGCTACAACTAAAACTACGCTACACTACGCTAGACCACACAAGACTACACTACACTAGACTACACTACAGCACACTACTCTAGACTACGCTACAGGCCACAACATTACAGCACACTAGACTACATCACAGTACACCAAACTCATTACACCACACCACAACTACAACTGCGACTTCACTACGCACACTACGCTACACACAACTACAACTCCACCACACTACAACTACAACTACAACTACAGCTGCACTACACCACACTATATCCAGCAGTTGTGGCTGCAACCGCTGCAACCACTGCAAAAAGCATAACTCCAACTACCTTTCGGTCCATCAGTGGATTCGCTCTGCCATCCATGCATCACAACAACTCACCTCTCCTATAGTGTCCTATCCTTGAAACTTCCGCCACCGCCTTGTGCGGTACTACTGGTAAGTCAAAAGTATAAGGGATCACGATGGTCACAGCGAAGCGTTCAAGGAGGCCGAAACTGCTGAGAGGCCAGAGTTGTGCAAGACAGATTGCTTTGGAACCAGGCCTGCGTTGACGATGTTGGTCACCTGACAATTATCCATGTTTCATGCTTATTTAATGTAATGATTATTATTTGATACGACTAGTATTGTGTTGTCTAGATGTTTTTGATGATGATAATTGTTGATATGTTGGTTTGGTTTTGTTCATGTTCATGAATTATTGTCATTCTGTTGTTGTTATTCCTGACGATGTTTTTTAAACGAAAAATATGAATGCGTTTCGTCCAATGTCATAAACCCACTTTGGATAATCTTGGTTTACCACATGGGGTTTCAAGTCACATCATTTCAATCTCACTGTGCTGAAACAGATGTATTTACCTTCCGGTAATCAAACATGGTAATGGGAAATATCCATAAACAATTCTCCAAATGGAGGGTTCAATGGGAAAATCATCGACAAAACATGGTGAACGTTTGATTGCCGTGTTTGATTGCTGGAGGGTATATAATTACTTCACCCAGGTGAGCCTCGATTTCGTTTCATGCTGGCTACAAGGTTTGCTACCCGCTACCCTGCAGCAATCATTTTCCTCATCACCATTTAGTGAGTTGCCAGCTCTGCAGGGAGACATTAACACCTTGGTTATTTTCTAGGAATTTCCCTGCGTTGTCATCAAACGTGACTTGCTGGAAAACCAAAAATTTTTGTCGATGATTCTCCCAGCTATAACCTCCATTTATAGGGGATTTTAATGGTGTCCACCCCTGCCGTGGTCATGTATGTTTTGTTTAATGTTTAGAACCAAACCCGTGCCTTGCGAGCCCTTGCGCGTGCCAGGGGTCGAAATGCTGGTGCCCCTGTTGGCACGAAACCAGTGGGTAAACCAAAAGCAAACGCGATGGGTCGGCATTTGGTGAAATCCAGTTGGCAATTGAAGTGCCTCATATCTCCTCCTGTATTCTTCTATTTTTGGTGATTTTAGGGGAGGAACTTTGGAATGATAAAGATGGGCAAGCGGATGACATTTTGGAAGTCATGACGATGCGCTTTGGATGTGGTCCATTGGGGACCCGGATGACCCAAACGTCGCACTGAGGTGCAAACTCTGCTCCACACCTTTGTGTTGGGCATCTCAAGCTTTGAACATCGCCCAACTCGCCCAACTCGTCAGCCCGCTGACCTTTGGTCATGATCATTCAGTGCTTAAAGGAAACAAATTAATTATATTTAGATGATTTTAGATGATATTAGTACTTGTTAATAGATATTATGCGATTATATGTGCTATTCTATCATTCTTTGGATTGGCTGGTGGATTGAATCGAAGATGAGAACTTCACGATGGTCGCCCTACAGTGTACTATATAAGACTATATCCCATAGGATCCATATATGGTATATATGCTAACATTGGGGGTATATTGATGGTAAATGTTACCATATATAGCATACATGGATCCTATGGGTATAGATCTAAATGGGAACTATGGGGCCACCCAATGTTCTCACACCCCGTCCTGAGGCGTGAATGGTCCGCGGAGGGCGCTCAGGAGCATCCAAGTTCTCATTGCTCACCTGGCAGGGTCGTGTAGTAACGCAGAACGTTTGATTCCCGGAGGGTATAAGGCCAACATATATA